ATCTCACGCGAGCTATTTTCCAGGCTGACAGCTCTGCAGCATGGAGGACAAGGACAGAGAGGAGAGAGTGGTGGATGTGAGGCTCTTATGATGTCCCGTCAGAGCTGCAGAGCTGATTGCAAGAGGAAGCACAGATGCGTGAACCCTAACAGCACTTGAAATGCTGTGTCTTCACCTGATGGGTTTAGTCTGGTCGCTGGTCTCAGTGATGCACACTGCTACGTGGTGTTGTTAGAGCAAAACAAAACATTTTTCACTTATTTTTTTTTAATGATGATGTGGCCTGGATGGGGGCAGTCAGCAGAACGTGTGCACGTTTGAGTCAGTTCAGCATGATGGTCAGCTGCTGTGGGTTTTATCTGTCAGCATGCACACGAGGCTTCCTTTTAAGGGGAGCAGGCTCAGCTATAAGGGTCATTAACACTTTAGTTGGAAACGCCTCGTCAAATACGTCGTTAATATCTCTGAAGTTGTCATTCACAGTAATACCTAACTAAGGTGATAAGGAGCTTTGTAGAGCTCAAGTCTTCCTGCTGCTTATGTTTTTTTATTAGCAGTATTATTTTCTGCTCTGGAATCCAGTTCTTAAAACAATTTCTGTTTTACCTGTTTTGATGCTCAGGAGTAAAACTGCAAAAAGCGTTTTAGTCCTCGTTTCAGAAGGTCCCCAAGGAGGCTGTGGATGCAGACACTCAAGGCCAGGCTGGATGTGGCTCTGGGCAGCCTGGTCTGCTGGTTGGCGACCTGCACATAGCAGGGGGTTGGAACTGGATGAGCACTGTGGTCCTTTTCAGGCCATTCTATGATTCTGTGATATGATCCCATGATATGAAGGCAAACAGAAAAAAGGACCTTTTTTTTTTTAACCTAATGTATAAGTTACTGCAATTTGGGCAGCTTTAGTCCAGTGTAGAGCATATGTCCAGTGAGTTGATGAGAATAACTATAATGGAAAAGTCCACATCTGGAAAAGCTGTGAACTTCATACGCAGTCAAAAGCTTTGAAAAATCTGTCACAATCAATAAAAATGGGATTTATAGACAGTGGTTGATTATGCGCTCTTGAAAATCATTTTGCAGGATTTCTAAATGAATAAATCTTTACCAGAGTGGTGATGTTTTACATGACTGAGTCCAAGGAATATTTGATTTACTTATTTTTCATCTCATTTGTATTTTTTAAGTATCTGTTTCAGCCTGCTTAATGAATAGTGATTGCGTTGACTTCATTCCATCATTGTGACTTTCAGAATCCCAACAGATAATATTTGCATTGGAAGAACCTTCAGATTAGTGGTTTTGGGGTAAAGGAGATTGTTTCCAATAGCAATTTTTCGAAATCATGACTACCAGCGCCTCCTAGCAATGATAACCATGTGTCACTGTCAAAACTTGCAAAGAGTTTTAGGCGCCTGCAAAAAGCAGGCAGTCAACACAAAAGCAAATATGAAAACTCTTTCGCTTTGGGCAGCCTGGTTATGTCAGTGAGGAGATGTCCTCTTGATTAAATCCAGACCGAGCAGTTTCCTGTTAGCATGCGAGCACAGCCTGCAGTGTCTTACTCTGAGAGCCTGGCCCTGAGCTCCTCTGCCAAGTCCTTTCCTCTTCAGCTTACAGGCAGGATTGCTAAAATAATACAAACAATCCCTAAAAGGCTCTTAAAATGATTTCTAGCAGTTTAATGTCTTGCAGACAAACTTAGCCTTAGATTTTCAAAGTTTTGATTTTTATTGTTTTTTTTTTTTTAAACATTCTCCTAGGGTTATGTATTGGGGAAGTTGCAGTTTTGCAATTACAGGAAAATTTTATGCATGCATCAGTCTTGGGAACATATTCTGCCCTTGTTTGGCACACACATCAGTGAGGCTTTTTTATGTGCTGAGGAGAAGACAGCCTTCAACTATCGTGCAGTGGGGGAATCTGCTGGATAGAAGAGGAATGGTTAAATGCAGTGATGCACAGACATTCTGTGTTTGAAAGTGGTTGTGTTCTGTAACTAGTAATTTTCAAAAGTACAGTTTAATCAGAAGATGAAAGGTCAACAGTATTTTTTTTTTTTTTTTCCAAGCAAGTTTTACTCAGGGTAAATTTGGATGGGGTTATATGGCATGAACAATCCGTTCATGACACGAGACCAGGTTAACAGTCTGCAATTGCACGGTCTGTTTGAACAGATGTAAACCTGCAGTGCTTTGGGAACAGTCTTTCTCCTTGAGCTGGAGCTGTTTTCCCTGTGTGGGTCCGTGTTATTCTGCAGCCCTGGGGTAGCAAGGTTGGGCAGCTTGTCCGGGTTACATCTTACTCCACCGAGTGCAGGCTGTGTGCTGCCTGCACCCCTTTTGTGCTCCAGTTCATCACACGGCTGCATGAAAAGCAGCTTAGGAGCAGGGCAGCGTGTGGGGAGAAAAGGGTCTCTGGAATGGCTTCTTGCAGTGGCTTCAATTCAATGTGAAATGGTGCCATTTTCCTGCTGAGTTGTGGCTGCAAGTTTCTTTGGCTCTCTGCCTGTGGTCTGAGCCATTGGTCTTTGGAGTCTGTTGAGAAGTCCCTGTGCCCTCATCCTGCACGATGCTCTTGGTTCTTCCAGTGCTTCCTACAGACACAGAGGCAACCAAAAGCATTGCTGGGACCGTTTCTTGCTATGAAATCCAAACGTTGGGAGTGCTGCTAGAAACGAACAGTTGGCCAAGCTAGTGAGGATGCTGGAGTTACCAGTCCCATTTTTAAATTCTCCTCTCAACTCTGTTTTAGCAGGCTGGATTTTCATGTTCTACCAAGCATCTGTTGGGCCCTGTACCCTGGGAAATGGGATGTCCTCATCCTAAAGCAGCTGAGCTGTGCACTCAGTAAGGACATCTATATTGCCCAAGAGAGGAAGATATATCTATTGTGAATAATTGAAAAGCAATGGAAAGTAGTGCTATAAATATGAACTGGATGGGCTGTCTGTTCCTGATTACTTCATAAATAGCTTACTTTTTTCTTCTTTGTATTTTGCCAGTGTGCAAAGACAAAGTCTGTAATGCCTGTGAAGTCGGTGCTGTGTCATCTTCAAGTCCTTGAGTCTAGGTGCTGGGCTAGTATTTGGAATAGAACTGGCCTTGTTGTTTCGAATTTACACCTTACTGGACAATTTGTGGAGCAAAAACCTCTGCTCAAAATGTCCGTGTGTCTGAACTTCACGTGCAGTCGAAAATGTAATTCTTCAGGGGGTGCTTGAGATGTGTTGTCAAGCAGCCACGGAGAAACACAAAAAATGCCTTCATTTGTTACTTAGAGGAGTCTCTCAGTCTGGTGTTGCTCGTCCTACGTGCTGGTGAATTCAACATTCAAAGCCCAGAAGCGCTGCTAAACTGCAGAATAGTCCTGTAGGGCTTCTCTGGGAAATGTGACCCAATGAAACACCGTTACTGTGTGTGATACAGCAGGGCTGTTACCCAGGAAGGGAAGGCTGCGTGGTTCAGAAGAGCATCATCACAGCAGTGCCAGCTGAAAGCTTGCTGTGAGTGCATATGTGAGGAGGAAATCAGCACTGCAAATGGCTTTCTTCTGAAACTGCAGGAGAATTGGTGATGCAAAGTCTAAGCTAGGCTGTTGTGTGCTTTGGTTCAAGTTTATTTCCTGTAGTATTTTGCTGCTGATGCGTTCAATCCAACCTAAACAGATTAAAGAATTGGTTTGCAGGCTTGAACTATTTCCCGGTGGCCTGATTTTTTTTCCTTTGTGTAAACCCATTAATCCCAGATACTCACAAAACTCGCTTTAAACAGAATATATTCTGATCTCACTGAATGGGAGTGAAAGTGACTCCATCCTGTGAAAAGATATTTCAGCCATTCAGATGCTTTCCAGGAGTTTATTTACCCGTAGATAAATCCTGATGTCCAGGGAGTTTTGACAGGGTCTGTATTTTCACTCATGGTTGCAAACAGTTGGATGAGATGAGGCCATCTCTTTTTCTCTCAAGAGAAATGGCTTTATTTCTGCCATTCTGTTCGTGGTGGTGCAGTGTGATTCCAGAATTAGTGACTATTTAAAAAATAACCCTTCCCCCTCATAAAAACAAAGCATCAAACCTGAGATGTGTTGCCAAATGAAAACTGTAAGAGTGAACTGAGGGGTTATAATGGCATGTGTGCTAGGTGAATTGACACCTTCCTTCCTTGCAAAAGTATCATGTAATGTTTCTTGTCCAAATGTGCTTATGATATTAGGTTGTGCATCACCCGGAGCTGGTATTTCCAGCACAGGAGCTGTAAGTTCTGACACTAAAGCTGTGACCTCATTGCAGCCTTCCAGCACCTAAAGGGAGCCTACAAACAGAAGGGGAGTTGGCTTTTTACAGGGGGAGATAATGGCAGGGCAAGGGAAAGTGGTTTTGAGTTGAAGAAGGGAAGATTGAGGTTGGATGTCAGCGGGAAGTTGTTTGCTGTGACAGTGGTGAGGTGCTGGAACAGCTGCCCAGAGAGGCTGTGGATGCCCCGTCCATCCCTGGAGGTGTTCAAGGCCAGGTTGGATGGGGCCCTGGGCAGCCTGGGCTGGATTAAATGTGGAGGTTGGTGGCCCTGCATGTGGCAGGGGGTTGAAGATTCATCATCCTTAAGGTCCCTTCCAACCCAAGCCATTCTATGATCAGTTTTAGTGTTTATTCAGAAGTGGGACTGAATCACTGCTATTTTTTCCTTTAGCAATGTTATTATTCTCTGATATGAACTTCTAGATTATGATACATAGTAGTGCCACAAGATACACTGATAGCAGTCAGAGTGTGAAATATTCCATGGAACATGTCAGGGAAATAAAGATAAACTTACTGAATGACGTCCATTCTTGACAGAGCTCTTGGTGTTCGGAGAGCCAAAATGGACAGTGTTGCTTAGTAACTAAGGATGGACTCTCAAATAGCTGCTCCTGTGAAAAGATGAGATGAGTGTGACAGCTGTGTGAAGGATCTGGTTTTTGCCTGATTTTTGTGTTTTGTTTTTGTTTTCGCTTTGTAGGTTGAAGGGGACCAGTTACCTCCAGGACATACTGTCAGCCAGTATGAAACATGTAAGATCAGGACAATAAAAGCTGGAACTTTGGAGAAACTTGTGGAGAACCTTCTGACAGCTTTTGGGGATAACGATTTTACCTACATCAGTATCTTTCTCTCAACATACAGGGGCTTTGCTTCTACTAAGGAAGTACTAGAGCTTCTCCTTGACAGGTAAGAGCCAGTGGATGGTGGGAGCTGAGCTGTCGTTTACATGGCAGGGAGATGTCAGCAATTGTTTCCATTGCTGTCAGTGGACATGGACTTAATAACCCAATGGACAGGTGTCAAGAATATGTCAAAATTTGGAATGTATAAATACATGCTGCTCGCATTTCCATTCTCATTAAAGCATGGTCACCATGTAGGGAAAATGCATTGTGTCTGGCAACGAAGGAGTCAAAATGGGGCTAGCACATGGAAATTAATCTAGCTTGTCCCTCTCCAAATGAACCAAATGAGAGAGGGCTGCAGAGTCACACCTAACCTAGATTCCTGTATTTACTGAATATTGAATTTTCAGACCTAAGTCTCCTGTTGGGGGAAATTGATTTGAAACAGGGATAATGCATACACACTCAAAACCATGTCTACATCTGTTCACATCAACACACTGTAATAATTTTTTTTTTTTTGTGGACAGCACAAAAACCCCTAGATATACAAATAACCCCTAGATACACAAATAGGCAAGGTTGGAGGTGGAAGTATCATATTTATTTCATTTTCAAAAGGAAGTGATGTACAAAAGCAGCTATTCAGGCATATAGTAATTAGAGGGCTAGTGTAAGAACTCCTAGGTTTTGATTTTGGCTCTCCCACTAAGTAGATAAGGAACAAGGTGCAGATAAGTTATCTGTGCTATTCTTTTCTATCTGAAAAGAAGTCTGATACCACTTGCTTTGCAGGAATGTTATGTGCTTAATTAACAGTGGTGTTGAAATGCCAAGCTGCCAAGCCTGCTGTTATTATAATAATAACTCTGGTAGCTCAAGAGTGGTAACTTCACAGCCAATAAAAAGTCACATCTGGAAAGAGAAGCCATCATGGGGAGAGGCTGTGCAGTTAGATTTTCTACAGTGACCTTCACGTCTCAGTCCATACACATTCTGACATAAGTAAAGAAAGAGCAGTGGTGCATATGTGTAGGAATATAAAAACGCAGAGGAATTCCTTCTCAAGAATAAGGAATTCTGCCTTTACATTCAGTTTTTTTAATTCTGCATTTTGGATGTGAATGTCTTTTGAAGAATGCCTCGTGAAAGACACCGAATTCGTCTGGATTCCATTAAATTTAAAACAGAGCTGGCTGGCAAAATGTGTTGTGAGAATCTCCTGCTCTCTAAGCATGTGAGTTGCCCAGGAGCCACACATCTTTAGGATAAACCACTGCTTGTATGCATATACACAGTCATTTCCAGCCAATAATGCTTCCTATGTAATTTAATTGAATTATAAAATAGACTTTAGCAGAAGAAGCTGTTTTTATTAAGAAAGAGTTGGGTCAGATAAAATAATCCCTTTTGCAATGATGCGTTACCCAAAATGGCTATTTAAATTCTGTTCTAACAATGCAGTTCTTGTTGCTCTGTAATGGAGCCAGACTGCTCTTTTGGGCTTTTCTATTGGTTGACATGCAGCTAGGGAACTTGTCTTTCTGTAATCAATGAGAACCTGAAGATGGCTTATATGATGTGAATTAGTCATTCATAGTGGCTCCAAACCTGTTGAATCACACTTAGCTTTTAAATTAAAGGTGCTTGTATAAAACCCAGCTAACTTACTTTGTCTTAAAAGTGTGTTCACATACCCAGTTTAAATGCCCAGACAACATCCTTATGCGTTTGCCATCCATTTTAACAGAGTTTAGACTTCTAGTAGTTTCCATTCTTATTTCTTTGTTAGTGAGGTGTGTTAGTAATAGAAACAAATGTCCCACCTGAGACCATGACCTCATTCCAGGACTCACTGTGCAAACATGCCTAGAAGTGTTTGCAGCAGCTCCCACCCTAAAGCCCTTCTTCTGTGAAGAGATCCTAGAGGCACAACGAGAGGAGCAGGCTGCTAGCAGATATTTAGGAGTGCCCTGAGGCACAGAGAGAATAAGGGTTGTGCTTCACCTTACGGTTTTGGAGTTGGATCTCTGTTTTTGTGTCCACATCTGGTTGTTATTTTGCTGTGCTGAGGAGATAGAAGACTATGATGCAAAGATTCATATGTTGCATAAATTATGCATGATCCCGTGTATCTGACAAGCAAGTCTAGAATCTACCACCAAAACCTTTTAAGGTGGATGACCAGCAAAGTGACGGTGCTGGAGAAACATTCTTGTTCCTGGGAGACTGCCTGCATCTTCAATGGAGGGCTGGTTTGTTGGGCACCCTGCACTGAGCCCCTGGGCAGGACTGGGAGGGGGCTCCTGAAGTGCACGGCTCTGCAGAGAACTGGTTGTGCACAGCACTGCAATACCAAAATAATGAAATAACAGCCCCGGAATTGAGGATTGAAGAATGATAAACTTAGGTTTTTGTGCCAGAGGGGGAATCCACTGAAACAACAGGCCATCTTACAGTCAATTAGCCTGCTTGTGCTTTTGATTCTTTTGTGTTTCATCACTAGCCATTAAAATGTTCAAACCCTACAAGGCTGATCTGCTGTAAGGATGATGAAAAAGTCTTTTGGGAATCTTGCTTTTGCACTGACGTTAGGAGACTCCTCTAGATAAATGGTTCTGCTTTCTTCCTGTATTCTCCCCAAGCGAAAATGATCATAGCAAGCTAAAAATAGGAATGTACAAAATTAATAAAACACTGAAGCCGTAAATTCAGATACTCAAAAATCAGGACTTTGAGCACGGAAAGAAGTCAGGATTATTATCAAGTCCATGCATCACGTGCTTTAGTTTCTACTTCTGTATGGGCTTTTAACATAGGCATTAATGATAGGATTTTAAAAACAGCCTGAAGAAAATAATTACTCATTCTCTGAGAATTGCTGGTCGTAAGACAGCTGCACTCTTCAGGCTCCTATGAAAATGCAGCAACGGTAGCTGTAAATTGTATTGTTGGTGCAATTTAACCCAGTTAACTCTGCAATTAAGTTCTTAATATTTTCATATCTGGGAATTACACCTGTACCATTGCAATTAGATTGCAGCACAAAAGTAGTGGCAAGTCTAACTTCAGTCTGGCTTAGATTTTCTCAGGCATTTGTCAGGGGAGCAAGTGAAAATCAACACTGATTAGAAAAGAAATTGAGCAGACAGGACTAACTTCTTAGCTTTGAATTCTGTGCATGGCCACTTTGTAATGAGTTTCATTTGAGTCTTCAAGCAGATAAGCAGGAAAGTAGGAGTCTTCTAAAGATGAGAGCTTTGTTGTTCACAGCTTTGTTGGCTGCTGATTGAAAGGAAAGATCTTGGCCCAATCTTGTCTGCTGCTTTCTGTCCTCGTGGGCTGTGTTTGAAGTTTGTGTCCCATTGGAGCTTTTGGTAACACACTAGTGTGGCAGCTGCTCTGGCTCTAGGAAGGGAGAACAGGGGAAGTTTGGATGCTGCAGGTCTGCTTCAAACAAGTAGGCTGTGTGATATTTCTAGCAGTGTCTAAGTTTGGGCACTCAGGTTTGTGTCCTTGTCCTCCAGTGAGAGGAAGAGGTGAAAATGTCAGAAGATGGCAAGAAAACATTGGAAGATGGCAAGAAAACATCAGAAGATGGCAAGAAAACACAGGGGTCAGTGCAGAACTAAGTCTCCTGAGCCAAGTTCTGGTCTCCAGCTTACACACCTCTTGGAGCAAGCAGTGATGCAGTCTACGAGGAAGGGCACGTAGGCAGCTTGACCTTGTCAACGTTATCCCCAGCTTTTTATAACAAATGGTAGAATCCTCAGGAAATCCTAGGAGGTCACCACTTCCTTCCCCTCTGACGAATCTCAGGAGTGTAGTGTTTAAGAGTCGATGGATGTTTCTCTTGGCTTTTCAAATATCGTGGTTCATCTAGAAGTGTATGGAATTGGGACAAAATAGAGATTAAATTTAAGCTATAAAGGTTAGAATGATTTACATCATGTGTGGAATATGAGCTTGTGAAGAAAAGCAGATGTTCTAAAGAAAATTACATAGAAATGGATAGTAGTTGAATTTAACTAACTCAGTTTTCATCTTTACTGCAGAATAGGCAGCTAAGAGCCTGCGTTCTTCAAATTTATTGTTAGTAATATTTCTAAATAACAGCACAGGGATGAAGGTGGGTGTTGGTACATAATCTGTGTTCTATAGCTATTATTTTTATTTCCCAGTTGAGTAAAAAAGAATGTGAAAAAGGCTCTCAGAATAAGCATTAGTTGTCAATTCCAACATCACGTGGAGAGCTTGCGCACTGTTTCTTCTTCTTGGTGATAGAGTGAGACTGTAGAGTAAGGGGGCAATCATGGATGGCAAGGCTGAATCTGTATTTGTAGGTGTAAGGGAGAACAGTGATGTGGCCTGATCCAAAAAGGCTCTTCCATCTTTCTGCAGAGGAGCAGCTCCACGACACAGGAACTGCACCTGTATTTCCTGCTCATAGGACACACTATATGTGGGAACGTGCAAACCTGCCCAGAAACATAGGTCAGCCCCATGAGTGTGTGAAGCTCTGTAGCCATCGGGGTCTGGAGGGGGTCTTCATTTCCTGCCTGGCCATGGAGGAGTTGGTAGTTTTGTCCCTGTGGAGTGATGAGATGAGCTAAAGGGACATCCCCATTGCTTACACTGCCTTTGCTCCTCTTCACACGACGTAGGAGTGCAGGAGGAAGTCCTCCCTAAGCCACACACACATGGCTTCAGTTATTTCACAGCAGGAATCTCATGGTTGCACAGCACTTGTGCTTGCGGTGTCTGGAGTTCCCACATCCTGTGCTGGTGTTGTCATCACAGAAATGCACAGACTGGGCAAAGGGAAACATTCCTAAAGGCGATGCATCCAGTGCAGTGAGTGTCAAACAAGATGCGTGAGAAGGTTTAAATCTCTGCTGATGTAAAATTCAGAATATTTTGAAGACAGATGCAGTTCCCTCTGTATCATCCAGGAGGTACTTGGTGGATTTCTACAACTGTGCTGCTTGTAATGGACTACCAGTTGTGCTCTGGTTAAGAGCAATTGGACGTCCGCATCCCTTTAGTATGCATGGAAGTTTGGCATCTAAATGCACGAGGCAGCTTTGAAAACCTGCCAAGTCTTTAACACTATGCATCCTGATATTGCCTCTTTGTTCGGTAGAAGTGGTTTAAAAATAATTAAAAAAAAAAAGTCTCACGTTAGCATTGGGATGTGGAAATGCTGGATGGAAGACCGTGGAAAGAAGGAAAGGGGCAGAGCCAAGAGCAGACAGGCTCCTCCTGCCCCCAGGCACAGCACTATGGCAGGGTGCCCTCACTGAGCCTTCAGCCTCCCCTGCTGCTCTGTGTGCTGTGGCATTAAGTGCTCCCAAGCGTGATGGAAGCCAAAGATATTTAGCTGTCCAGAGGAGAGCAGGCATAAGCCAAGTTCCTCTCTGATGTATTTTACTTTGTCATGGTAATCGTGTTCCTTGCAGCGGTGCTTAAGAGCGGGGCCGTGCTGTGCTTGTGCAGTAGCATATAAAGTAGCAACCAGTCCCTATCTGAAGAAGTGTGCAGAAAAGGAGAGCTCGAGCTGGGTAAGCCCAACAGGATGATGATGGCAGATAACAAGTTAGTTTTACGTTTCCAGTTCATTTCTTTTGCTGGAGGCTGGCTTCGTAAGAGGGCAAATGGAGGTAGAGAGGTGAGCTTGAGAAAGGCCTGGCTGGGTAGAACAGAATAAGGAAACAAATATAAACAGAGGGCTTTGCACAAGCTGGGGAGAGTCCTGAGGCCATCCTGAACAAACAGGGCGAAAAGCTGTCAGTCAAGACCGTGTGAAGAAGAGAAATCTCCCAAAGAATCTGCTTTTGCCATTTTTCTTCTCTGGAATTTGAGTGGTTTCCTTCCAGGTTTTGCATCCTGGTTACAGTTTGGGTGAGCCTACCATTGTGTGCTGCTTTCTGTGGGGGGTTTGTGCCATTTCTGCATGCTTCTTCCAAGGAGGGATGACCTGAGCAGCAAGCCTTTCCATCCTTTCCTCCAGTACCACAGTCTGTCTGCTTCTAGAGCTTCCTCCCTCACCAGGCACATTCAGCTCACATCCGTGCTGTTTTGGGAGTGGATCCTCGTGTAGCAGAGCAGATCCTTCTGTGCATTTTAGGGCAGTAGCTTTATATGGCATCAAGTTCCCTCTTACTGCTGTAGCATTTATCTTTCTTGTGTTGTTTCCCTGTATACCACTCGGCTAAAGAATTGACTTTGTTTCCATTATTCTGTATAATGTGTAATTCCGAACACCTCACAATTCTTGCTGAATATCTGTGCTTCCAGTTATTTTCTGCTTGCTTTGATGCTTCCAAGCATTATTTAGGGCTTTGGCACTTCTGCAGAGAACCACCTTTCCTTATTATTTCCTAATCATTCAAAGAGGATTTTCCTTCCTCTTCTTCCCTTCCCTTCTGAACAGAGATGCAGGGTTGCATTTTCTACTTGATTTTTCAGTATTTAAATATTCAGCACTACGGGTTACATTCCGCTCTCATTTGCTTAGTCAGTTCTTTTCAACTAAGTCTATAACTTTCCAAACACCAAGCAAGGCTGAAAAGTTCTGTGGGCTACAGGATCCTTTTGTTTCTCATGTCTCTTTTTGTATGCAAAGCATTCATACAAGGCTGGGTAGTGAATGGCTCTTTGTCCAGGAGCTGGTGAGAACAGAGTGGTGGAAGCCTGCAGAAACACAGTTCTTTACATCAGATGTATCATTAACTCCTCCTAACCCGTATTTAATGGCCTGTTGCTCATGCAGAGCTCTTTTTTTGTTGAGAGATAGGCAGAGATTTACATTTGGCAATATGACAAAATGTTACGTACGTGCCAGGTTTTGTACTGCAAATTGCCTGCTTTCTGTGACTGGGTTTTAGATTTATATGGTAAAAATCAGCATGGGTACCTCTAGTGGGATTTACGTGCAAGTGCCTAATGCTTCAGATACATATTTTATATTTCACACATTGTGAGGACAGTGATACTGGGAGTCATCTCGATCCATTTTGCTTGGAGAACTAATGGGAAGTTTTGAAAAATGAGTATAAAAACGTGATTGTTATTCAGGAGTTGCAGCTTTCTTTGCTCAGTAGGGGAAAATTGTCTTTTGTACTGACTAAGATGTATTTTAGTCACTTTACCTAGCAGATGGTGATGGAGAGTGAAATCCTCTCCATTTATCAACAGGCCAAGAGCATATGATACACACTGCATCAGCAGCACGGGGTGTTGAAACTAGATGATTATTGTGGTCCCTTTCAACCCAGCCCATTCTATGATTCTATGGTTGTTCTGTCAATGTCTGCTTCCTCTGAGGAACCTTCTCCTATAGCTGTTCCTGTACTGGAACCCAGTGTTCTGATATTTGGAAGTGCAAATATTGAAGCCAATAGAGTTCAACCTATTTTGATTGGATTTAACCTCAGCTTAGCAAAGTGATGGGCTTTGTGGCAGTGGTGTTTGGAAGGCATTCTGGTTTATTTCATCCTTGCAGGAAGGCAATGGGAAGTACTTCAAGTGGTTAACTGCACTCACTTTGAATTGGAAAGGGTATGACTGATCCCTTAGAGAGGCCAGGTGGGATTAAGTGCTGAATTGCATGGTTGGAAATAAAGAATCTGTTCCATTTTACAGCTTCGGTAGTGCTGATCTCAATGAAAAGATCACAGGTAGAGTGTGAAATTGCTTGGGAGCACATAGGAGAAAGCAGAGAGGCCGCTGATGGACTGAAAAATTTCCAGACAAGATTGACAGCAAAGTAGTGATTCCTCTTTGAATGCTCCTGCTGTGATTCACTGCAACCCTGGGGAGACCAAGGTGTCATGCAGCGTCATCAGAAGTAGATTCTTACCCCACTGTCAGCACAAGCATAAGCTGAGCATATTTTTCTTTAGATGTTTGCAGTAGTTGTATGAAATCACAATGGAGAAATGGCTTATCCTGCATGAACCTCCAGGCCAAGAACCCTTTCAATTTTTAGAAGTCCTGCAGGACCAGCAGTATTGTTTGGGTATAACTGAGAAGAATTGGAGCCCTTCAAAATGTAATTTTGCAAGTGCTTATGTATGTGTTACACCTTTGTTTCGTGGGCAGACATAATGCTGAGATTTCTGAAGTCTTCACTCCTGTGTTGAACGAGGGACAGCGTGTTGGTCAGAGTAAGATACTGGGATCAAGCAGTCATATTTTGCTCTCAGCTTTGCAACAGATAAGTGGAAACAACATTTTTGTTGTGTCTACATGCAGCTGGAGATGCAGGACCCAGTTTTAAACGAGCCATTGTTGCAGATAACACAAGTGGTCCTACTGCAGGACTCTCAAGGTTAAGGAAGCCCAAACTGACCTCCTTACAGCTGCAGCCACACTGCTGCTATCTGAGGAGCTTGCCTTCGTTAGTTTGGGTTTACTTTGTAATGCACTGGCATGAGCAGTGCATTAAAACCACTCATCTTTCTGTGCTTCAGTTTCCATCTATATTGAACAGTCCAACGTTAAACCCTTGTCATCATATTGTTGAAACTTATTTTAATGTATTGTGAAGTTTTGAGACTGAGAGCCATGATGGGTGGTGCAAAAACCCATTATTTACAACCTGCTGGTGGGAAGGAGCTTGAATTAAACTGTGTCACTTTCTGTACATATCTGCAGTTCTTGCATATGAAACCTTAGACTGGTACTTCAGAAGTACATAAAGCTGCCACCTCATATTTCTAACCTTTGAAAGTTATGGATGTTGCAGCTCTGCCATGACCCTTCCCTACACAAACTGACAGCCCATGCTGTTCTCTTTGTCTGATGTTATTAGAATGTTAAAGATGCACTTGTTCTCCCAGCTACTCAGATTAATTGCAGGTGCTTGACTAACATAATTTAAACACAGAATGTTTAAAATCAGCTTGCCTAAGTCTGTATTGGGAGTAATTGTCTGCCTTCATTAAAGCTGGCTGTAAGGAGCCATGAAGTTCTTTGTAGAGCTGTGTATCTGAAGCAATGGGTTCCTCCTATTGAATATGAAGTGCATTATCCTGCCTGCAAGGCACATGCATTACGTACGTAGGTGTGAGATTTTGCTTTGTGCTGATGGAGTTGTGCCTCTGGTTTCCTTTTTCCCAGTGGCATTTTCACAGTGCTGCACACCATTCTTGCTCATGACAACAGTATCAAGAGTTTTGACACGAATGGGCAATTACCACCTAGAAAAATCTGTGTGGAGATCACACTGGGTAGGAATGATGATAATTGTGTAAGAACCGCTTTATTTGGGTTTGTGTTTTCATTTAGTAGGTGTTCCTCTAAACAGCCATCTCCTTTTTCAGGTATGGAAACCTGGAGACCTCAAGCTGTGAAGAAGTCGGGAGCCAGAATTCCTCTGAATCCAAAACAGTACTCAGGAAGTAAGTGTGGTTTTGCACTGTGCAGCAATCAGGATTCATACTGGAGGAGGATGTGGGCAGCATAGCTGTTGTTTCCTTTGAAAATGCACAGCACTGTTTTCTTGCTTAAATAAGCTTGTGTAAAAGCCAAATATCAACCTTCTCAAGACACATCCAATGATGTAACCCAGAGATCTCTCAGTCAGCATAATTGTCTTGGAGTTGAACAGGAGGTGAACACATCTAGGCTAATATTTTATTGATTAAACAAACAAGGAATGTTTATTTCCCCTGCCTTATCTATAGCAATAAACGGTTATTGCTTATGACTGATTTTATTGTGCATTACAACAGCGTCTGCAGGCCGTAGCTGAGGGTGTTTCAGGCAGCATGTGCATGCATGCATCTTCTCCATTAGAGCCCCTCTGATGTACAGTGTTGCTTTTTGAGTGAAATTTAAATTCTGATGTCATCCTGTGTTGCAAGAAGAATAGCTAAGCTGATTCGAAATGCAGTTTAAATGGAAAAAAGTGGTTATCTTCCTAGCGTCCTGTGAAACTGCATTTTATCTTTAGACATGGGATGTAAAATGTTCCTTAGGTCATCAGTTTGTACTTTGCCATCTGTATGGTGTGTGGTTTGCACTATGGCAATGAAAAGTAGCTGAGTAGTTATATTTGATTACAGTATACTGGGAATCTTCATTGTTGTCAGCATCACTCTATGATTCTATTTCATCTATCAGTTAAAAAACAAATTTAAATCTTTCTTTACTGCACTTGGCAAGGGGGAGTTGAAGAAGAGAGCCTACAGCATCAGTTTGTTTGTTTTGAGATAGAAGAGAATGTTGAATTTTTCTAGAACATGAAATACACTGCAGTAATTTCATTCCTAAGACTGATGCAGGTGGTTGATTCAAATCACATCTTAATTTAAAATATTGGGCCTGCCCTTCATGCTGCTTCTCTTGCTGCGTTTCTGATGTGTTGGGACAGAAGGTTTTGAGTCTATTTTAAAATGGTTCAAATGTCCCCAGTGCAGATATTTTCCATTAACATGCCCAGCACCTCCCTGTCCCTCATTGTCTGAATGGAATTGTTGGACAATGGGGTCGCTTTGCCTTCTGTCATCCATGCAGAAACTGTTTTGTTTAACTACCATAGATAAATTGGTGAAAGCCCCTTGTATAGGAGTGTTTCTCTGAAAACACAAGTAATTATGCTTGCTTGAAGGTGGAAGAAATGTAGAGCTTAATTAATGTCTATAAGTGATACAGGACTCTCAAAAACGGCTTTAGTTAGAAACAAAATGTTACTGCCTGTTAATTGTTTTAATGCTGAGAGAGAACAGAAAGCTACAAGTTCTGGTGGATTGGACTCCTCCTCTTGACCCAGGAGACTTGGTAGGAGAGCTCAAATCTCTGACTCTTTTCTGGTTGCCAGAAGCAACCTTCATACAACAGGTGACAGTTAAAACTTGGTCACAAGCATCAACGAGACAGAATGATGTTGAAGGTAAAGGAAAGAAAACAGGCAGCCAGCCATGCCCTTCTTGTCAAATAGATTAAGAACTTTTTGTTTAGATTTAAAGCAGGATTGTTTTTCTACTGACACACAGTTTATCATCATGCTGCTCCCTGCAGCATCCGTCTTGTCTTCTCCCTTGACAGTAATTGTCACACAGCATCTTTGCACAGTTGGTGAATGACCAGTGGATGGGGTCTGTCTTCCCATTCTTCTGGTAGCACAACTTTTAGTGAGTTGATCTGACTCAGTTTTCATTCATCAGCATGGCTGATTTTGATTCTTCAGCCCTCATCTTTTACATCTGAACTCGATACCTGTTACCCAATCACTTATTTATAGAAAGTTCAACAATGAAGTTACCCAGCAAGTAGTTTATATGTCATGGGCACATGTTTCAACAGATCCTGCATAAACGTGAGTTCACTTCCCTGCCTTAAAAATTTCCATTGCCTTCCAGTTGCTGTGGCTACTTGTCTCTTAGCTATGATTAATGCTATCTGGAAAAGAGACTGCCTTTGTAGTCCTGTTGTGCAACGTGTCATTCTGGTAGTTCAGGTTTTCTCTTGTCTGGGGATAATTCCATTATAATTGCATTTACCCTCTTGTCTCCTAGAACAGAAACATGATATAGGTGTGCTCTCAGTGTTAGATGTGCTGGAGCAATGTTATTTCTTGCCATTAACTCTGTGTTTTTGGAGGTGAAACATCTCTTGGGAAATCCTGGAGTTTGTGCACAAGGCTCTTCTACGTTCATCAGGCACCTGGTGTGAAGTTCTGATGTTTTATAGTTCTGTTTGATGCATTAGCAATGTAAAGCATTTCCTCTTGTTTGCCACAAGAAATGCTGCAGAAGTGAAAAAAACGACATCAGGAGGAGAATTCATTGCTCCTGAGATACAACTCATGGAGCTTTTAAAAAGTAGGGGGTTTCTGCAAAACCTTAGGTATGTATAGGAGGAATATTCTGTCATATTTTGTGTACTGTTAGCCCCCCAGTTAGTACTTTGTGTTGAAACTCCCTGTTCTTTTTGTGGTACAGAGCTGCAATGTGTTTTGAGAAGGAAAAGGCCCGATATATGTAAATTTCCTGTACTATTTGAGTGTTCCACCTGGTGTTAATGAGAACCTGCATGACCTACACCAAGGCTTGAGTGCACTTGTGGCACAGCAAGGTTTGGGAGCCCTGTGGGAGCTGTAAACCTCAGCTGGTGTTCCGGGTCTGAGCAGCTGCTTCTCACACTCACTGCAGTGACACAGAGTTGTTACTGACCCAACATCACTTCAGCTCTGCTCCCAAAATGCCTTCTTAGGGATCCTTTCTGCCGAGGGGATTTTCTCCTGTTCACTTAAGTGTCATTCCTAGCATTTTTGAGATGCAGGAATGGTCAAATTCTTTTCTTTTTATTCAACATCAATTTGACAGTGATGTTTAACACAAAATGTCTGATTTTTTTTTTTAATTAGTATTGCCATTTTCTTTAGATCTCCATTCAGTAACAGAAAGTTTAAACAAAGTGCTGTGATGTTGTAACTTAAAATACAAACAAACAAACAAGACAGCATAGCTTGGGCCTTAAAATCATGATCAAACTCTGAACAATCAAACTTTTTGTGACCTTAATAACATTAAGGCCTTATACCTCTTTATGTTCAATAGCTTACTTTCCACAGTTCTCACTGCTTTCAGACAGTCAGAATGTTTATGATAGCAACGTGAAAGCCAGAAGCAGAAGAATAAAGTTTAGAAAAGGTCAGATGCAATGGCCAAATGTCTGAGTGAATGTGCACTTTGGCCCCTGTTTCCAGAAACACGAGGCCATGCCTCGCTTAATTGTCTGATAAGGGAGTGGTAAGGAGTAACTCATTTGACCCTCTGTCTCCTGTTATAAGCAGTTCTTTTTGCTCTTCTTTCTTGTATCGTGTAAACAAAACTCTCAGGATGTTGCTTTATTCTGCATCCTCTTGTCAAGGATGTCCTTCTCGTCTTAGCTCAGGACTTCTGGTGACTTTCAAAAAGAAAATAATGGATACAGTGCACCAAGACAGTTCAGAATAAAACCATACACATGCTAAATATAAATGAAAATTACCAGTATGGTGAAATGATGGGAAGTTTTAATGAGATAGGCACGTGTAAGGTATTTCAAGCTCCTTGACCTGTTGTGGGAAGGGGATCTTCTGGCCAAGCAACTAATGCCACTTGAGGACTTCAGGTGACCAAACTGTTGTGTGTTGCTGATGAGATAGATACAAGCAATGCTTTTGGTGATGTGAGCTGATAGCTGTAATCTTGTTTTCCAGACTCGGATTCCTCCTTGGTTAACTTTTAACTGAGAGCTAAATGTTGACTTTCAGTGCAAGAGAGATGTGGACCTGTTGGAGTGCGCCCAGAGGAGGGCCACAGAAATGATCCAAAGGAGGAATACCTGCCTATGAGAAAAGGCTGAGAGCTGGGGCTGTTCAGCATGGGAAGGAGAAGGCTTTGGGGAGGCCTGAGAGTGGCTTTTGCAGTGATTCAGATACCTGCTGAATCACTCAAGTCTGTGTGATAGGAGGGCTCATTCTCCACCTTGTCTGTGCTCTGCTGGCTCAGTTTAACTGTGATGTTAGGCTCAGAGCCTTGCCCTGTTTCATGGCAGCTAGTGAGTGGATGAGTAGTTCTGTGTTTCCATTTGTAAGGCAACAAAACCACACGTGCATCTTCCGATAAATAGGTTTTAAAGTCTGAAATGTTTTAAGCAAGGCTGGTGCAGAAATTGGAAGATTTTCTGAAGGTTGCAAAACCTGAAAGCATTGTTGAGCAGAGCCCGGAGTCTGTGGTTGGAAGGACAGGATTTAAACATTAAAAAGTTTTTCTTACAAGCTGCAAATATAGGAAAGTAAAAATTTATAGCTCAAAATCAGCCCATGAAAAATGCAGCCTGTGATGTTTCTTTCCTGTCTGAGGTCTTGGAAGGCTCCCATTGCTATCTGTCTCTGGGTCTATGGAGTGTAGGGAGTTTCTTCTCAAGGGCAGCAAATGTAAAGCTGCTGCAAGCTGCAGGCAGTTCTCCAGCTCGTTTTCAGAAAGCTTTCCTCCCTGACGCACCAATTAGGAAGTCAAGTGATAGGAGGTCAGTAGGCTAGAGTGTACCTTGTTTCTCTTTCCTATTTCCCCTCTTGACTGAAATTATTTTGCTGGCAAAGAAATCAGTGTCTGTAACGGCTGTGAACTCTTCACCCTGTTCTGGGAGACTGGGTCTGTGTTCAACTCTGTTTATTCTTCAGCTTATGAAAGTGGCCATCAACCGTGCCTCTGGAAACTGAGCTCAGTATGTGGACAATATTAGTACAAGAAAGTGTCCTGGGGAGCGGCTCCTGCTTTGAAATCATTGCAGAACTGGTAAATGCTCATAAAAAAAGAAATACCCATTCAACCTATTCTGTGGCAGTGGAATCAGTAGGAATGACAGTGAGTTTGTGGTGTGGAGAAAGGAGGCACAGAGCAGGAGAAAACACACAGGGCATGGAATGAGGTCCAGTGTTTCCTTGCCCATGGTGGAAAAGAGAGAAAAGTCCTGCAGCCATAGGGCAGTAGTGTTTGTGTACTCGGGGTAAGTGCTGGACTAAAGGGGACAATTAGAAGTGTGGGGAGGCAGGAGTGAGGGCTTGGGAGCATCACTGGGGATGGCTGACTGTTGTGGCAGTGATCATCCTTCTTGGGAAGTGGAGCTGGGCTGGTGATGCTGGCTTCTCTATGTGATGGCGTGGCATTTATCCCAGCTGAGAAAAGCAGTCCTGGAGCTCCCAGTGAAAGGTTTGGCACCCACAACCTTAACCTGGGAAGAGCTTGCTCCCTTGCTGCATGCACACAAAGCTTGTCTGGACAAAGGTGTGAAAATCCATTCCCAAATGGTTTTCAAATGTGACGAGTCTTTGGAGCTGTGTGATCTGTATTTCATATTTGCAGTAAAACCTGAAGCACAGTGTGTGTTTGTTTGCTAATTTTTGGTTCCAAATACTCTTTGTAGCTCTAAAATGGTAATTGCAGATTTTTTCTTGTCAGCATGCCTAACCGAGCAGTATTACTGACAGCTTTCCAAATACTGTCAGTAATTAGAAGTTTGAAGTTGTCACAATAGCAGAGAGGGAAATAAAAGAAACAACAGACTGAAGTGAACAGAGCTTGCAAAATGGCATCTGCGTGGGACTGAAAGTTGGGGAATAGAATGGGAGAGGCAGTCTTTACCTTTCTTTAACTATTAGTTTATTCTGAGCGCCACCAAGCAGCTGAATGAACCAGGTGTTGCTGGTTAACAACAGATGCTGGTAGCATCTGTGTGCAGCTCTGCAAGGAGAGCTGTCTTGGCTGGCTTCCATCTTCATTGTACAGCGGTCTAAAATGTGGAATCTTTGTTCGTATTGAACAAATTGAGAGACAGGTCCTCCTGGCATGTAGCTCTGTGTTTTCCAGCTGTTAATGTGACAAACCTGGAGCCACTACTTCTGCATCCCATGCTTTCGAGGACTCTCAGAGACTTTGAAGGCCAGGTGCCTGGTTGCCATGAGGGGAGCACAGATGCTCTCTGGGCTGCCACGTTGGTGTCTCAGACTGCATGCCTACGGTTAGAGCTTGCTCCTGAAAGCCTAGCCCTTCTCTTCATGTATTGCTTATGGCTATGGGATACTGTTATTGTATGAGGGCACTGTGAAATGAGGTTAGTGGGAGAGGCACTGCTTGGTCAGAAGGTTTCTGTAGATGTGAATAAGGTTTTCACTGTGGGGCTAGGTTCTCACCTCTAACTACACAGCAGGATCCTAAGGAGCTGTGGAGCTGAGTGAGACCCGATGCCATCCAGGACTGCTTCACATAGCTCATCTCAGCTGCTTTCTGAAGGCAGTGTGAAGAGCTGCTTCCCTAAAATATTGCATTTCTTCCCTTCTAGACATCTCCCCCGACTTTCCATGACAGCAGGAAGCGCAGCTCACCCCTCTTTCCTGCTGCAGCCTTTATTGATTGCTGGCTGGAAGAGGCTTGAAATAGAGGAATAGTCTTAGTGTCTCAGAGAAAATATGTGAGACTTCCTTTTCTCAGGAATTTTGATGTCAGTGGTGCATTTCCTTATGGAACAGAGCGTTTTGCTTTCATGTCATGTCCTGTTCTCAGTACCACCCTAGGTGTCTGTGAGACAGGTCCTTGTTGGTGTGTCATGCTCATGGAATCATGGATAGGAAGCTCCCAGAGTCTCTCATTTCTCAAAAAGTTCCTATAATTTTCAAGCATCCTTTCCTTCCATGCGAGAGGCATACCTTCTTGCATGGTATGATTTGATGGTGCCTCCTTCTCTTTGAACTAAGGGTAAAATCCAGATTCTGCTAATGTTTCTGTTACACATTTTATCCAGGGATTAGCAGACCCAATCTGTTTTCTGGGCTCAGCCATCTCAGCTCTTCCAGCCTGCTGCAGAGCGCTGGCAGCACCATTGCTGCCCATGCTGCACAAGTCGTGGTCAGCCTTTTAGCTGCACACACATGCAGATAAATCTCACAAACAATCTGCACTCATAGAGGTTCAGACTTACACTGCTTTTTCCAGCACACACAGCCTTGGTGAATGGGCAGCCTCTCTTCTAAGAAAGCAGGCACCTCTGATTAATACGATGTGCAGGACTCTGCTTGGGACTGCGTTCCCAGGCTGGGCAGTGTGATTGATGAGAGGAAAGACACCAGAGGAAGTGTTTGATTTAGCACTTCCACCAGGAAGCTCCTGTCCTGAAGGAGCCACAAATACCCTTCTTCCTCCCTTGTATTTTTCCACCACATCCCTGGGAGCAGTGACTGAGCAAACACTGCAGCCGTACTGCGCCACAGCAATTCCCACCGGTGCAGGAGTGAATTAAGAAATTATATTCTGCTTCTGATTGTGAGCATTGTGTCTGGTAGTCATTCAAACGTGGTCACGGTACAGCTAAGAGAAGATGCTTCAACTGCTTAAACAAAAGCTGACTCCAAGGTAGTTGGCAAGTCTGGCTTAATAAAGTACAATGCAGGGAAGCAGGACCATAATGAATCCCAGAGATAGGAAATGATTTGGCTTTATTTGAGGTTGCTGATCTTATATGCTTGGGAGATGGTTTTGTTTTTTTTTTTTAATTATTTTCTTAATTGCTTTATGTATTACTACTTGATATCCTGAATTTAGTAGAAAGGTCTCAGTATTACTTAAATGGATTTTGATTCTTCATTACTATGCATTCTGGGGCTGCACTTGGATCTATTTGTAGTAGAGCAGATCAGAAGCAACTTCACTCAAGTCCCTGCAAAATCTGAGCGGTATCTTAGTAAGATTCCACGCATAGAAAAGAACAAATAAAATTCTGTGCTCAAAACCATCCTTGTACTGTCTTCATGAGGGGTATGAATGCCGTGGTGTTTCCATTTTCATACAGATACATGCATTTGGCAGAAGCTGTACAACCAATGTACTCTCTTTGTATTTGCTTTCAGTGCAATAGCATCAATCTTACGAGCGTGGCTCGATCAGTGCTCTGAGGACTTCAGAGAGCCTCCCAGCTACCCATGTTTGCTGAAGTTGCTGGAATACCTGCAGAGGAGCATGCCTGGCTCCGACCCAGAGAGAAGGGCACAGAACCTTTTGGAGCAGTTCCAGAAGCAAGAAATAGAAAACGATCGTAAGCTACCTTCCCTTCTTTCTTTCTTTGTTTTCACATGCTGCATGGTATCCTGGTATTTACATAGAACTACATCTTATTAATGCTCACATTAACTGCTAATATTGTGAGGCTCACCAATGACTTCATTCTTCTTTAATTTCTGAATGAGACATCAGGTTCTGTGTGAATAGTACAGTACAGCGTGGGAGCCTTCTGTTCATTCTGGGGAGGACTGGGAGTCCCAGCACTTCTGATGTTCAGCCAGAGTCTCAAGACTGCTGCAGCAGCTGAGTGGTTAACTGTCAGCAGATTCCCCATTGTCACTGAGTTAAAACAAACAAGCTGCTATTCAGCTGGTCCTCTTACTTCAACCCTCACAGCAAAAGAAAAACCCGAAACACCAAAAACCAAAATCAACCCCAAATCAATAAAAAACAAAACCAAAAAGCTCATCTTACTGCGACAAAATACAGCCTGAGTCACAGCCTTGTTGCTATGAAGCTTTTCTTCCTAGTTACCACCATGTCAAAGGAAGTGTCTGTGGTTGTTTTTTCCTATTTGAGTGGCTGGCTGCTTGGTATCCAAGGACAGAGGAAAAGGTTACGTTACTGGGGGTCACAATCTACTGAAACAATAGGGAACTGTGGTAATGCAGATATGCTGTGTGCAGTGCCGAGCTTGACACATACCCTTATCCTGCTTCAGAAGTTTCCTGTGCCATGAGCTGAAATGTCATAGGAGCTCCCATAGTGTGTGAATGGGAGCTAAAACCAACTTCCAGGTTTGGCAGAGAGGCAAGTGGGAGTAATTCATGGAATAAGGGATAAAGGAAATGAGGGAAAAGAAACATTTCATCCCTAGACTAGAGTCTTGCTTGCTGGATGTCCCAGAAATGCCATGTCAGTGCGTAACGAGGTGCAATGCCAAGTTTGCTGGCTCATTGACACGTGTGTAAGAAGCACACAGAGCCCAAGCGGTCTCCTTACTGAACACAGGGAAGTGAGCAGGGTTGCTGTGTGCCCATTGATGTTCCTCCCTGAGTTCAGTTCCCACAGGTCAAACAAAGGCAGCTCAGAAGAGCTATATTCGGATTCATCTGTTGTTCAAAGTGAGCAGCAGTTCCCAGCAGCCCTGCTTTCTGCATTTGTTTCCTAAAGCAACAATTGAAAAGGCTCTTTTCTGAGTTATAGACAAGTCAATTTGAGTAACATTTTCCAAGTTGGGGCAGAATGGAAACAGTGAATTAGGATAAAAGGAGAGGAGGAAAATGCAATTAACCTGAAAGGTCTACAGAGAAGAGCTTGAGCTGTGGCTTATTTTATCATCACTCCATCTTTGCTCGTTTCTCCGACTTCTTTCAAATCTTGTAATGTATGCCTGCAATCATATTTGAAGACTGGCTGATAATTATTGTTCTAAAGCACTAACGTTGTGCTATAAATTTACAAATTTAGGTCCTAATCACAGAATCATAGAATGGCCTGGGTTGCAAAGGACCACAGTGCTCATCCAGTTTCCAACCCCCTGCTATGTGCAGGGTTGCCAACCAGCAGACCAGGCTGCCCAGAGCCACATCCAGCCTGGCTTGAATGCCTCCAGGGATGGGGCATCCACTTGGGCAACCTGTTCCAATGCATCACCACCCTCTGGGTGAAAAACTTCCTAAAATCCAACAGTTTGGTTTGTGTAATCAAACTTCTATTCAGTGCTGCCATCACCCATTCCAGCAGTGTAGGTGCCAGCTGCACAGCTGAAAGCTGCTCCCAGCCTCAGCACCAGCAGGTTGAGCAATACCAAGCAAGGTGAGTCAGCCTGGGTCAGTCAGAATCACAGGATTGCAGGGGTTGGAAGGGATCTCAAGAGATCATTGAGTCATCGAATGGTGCAGTTGGAATGTACAGATGGAAATCATGGACGTATAATTTGTTACAGCAGAACTTTAGGAGTTTGCACTGATGATTATGTTTTGCAAATTTATGAGAACCAAGTATTTTAAAAAGCAGCAAAGTACTGCTCTCTATCTTATTGCTTTAATGTTTGCTCTGCTTTAATTGAATACAAAGGATTGCATAATGTACTCTGAAATGCACTGCTTGTTTTTGTTAATGAAATCTCACTGGTAGTAAACACAGTGCTTTTGCTGTTAGACTTCAACTAAAGGGAAAGTCCAATTTTCTTTTTTTTTTTTTTTTTTTCCCATTCTTTTGTACTTATTGTCACCTTCCAGTAAAAGGGATTTGAAGAGGATTTATTTTGGGGATTTTCTGTTTGACTTCCTCCTTCACTTGCAGGCGTATTTCTTTGTGGCTTTTTTGTTTTTTTTTTTTAGTGTGTCTTTGTTCCAAACTGTGGAAGCCAAAAGGTGACACAGGAACATCTGGGAAATGGTGTGCAATGCTGGAATAGCTTTTCTTCAGTATGTAGTCCTGTGAAAGTGCATATTGTGCCACTATACCTCATACATCCTTTTCTTTCCACATCCAGGAGGTGAATTCTGGATGTAAGAACATTTCTCATGCAATGGTTTTTGAATGTAATCACAGTAGCAGCTGCTTTGATTCACTGTTTGCTGTATAAATTTACTAAGTCATGTTTTCCATCCTGCACAGATGAGTTCCATAGCACTTCCCCCTGTAATCTGTATGATGAAGAGGAAATGGAAATTAGTGGTCCAGAAGAATTCTCTTTTTTCCGGGAAGACCTCGTGGCAGAGCAGCTGACGTACATGGATGCAGTATGTAGAGTATATGTACTACTTGAAATGCTAGGGGAAATACTGCTGGGCTTCTGAGTTGTTTTTGTGTTATTTCCTTTTAATGGTTTCAATATAGTGCTCCTGAGTAAGTCTAGTTCTGGGCCACAGAACGTAGCTCTGCTTGGTCACCCAAACCTCCTTCATTTCCTTGGCTTTTTCCTTCAGTCATTCTGAAGATTTAAAAAAAAAACAAACAAATAAAAGAAGGGGACAGTGTTTATGTATGCTATGTATATTATGTAGCCTTTTTTGTGTGTGTGTTTTTTTTTTGTTTTTTAATTATGTTGCTATCTGGTCTAAAAACATACACATACTCTAATTCTGATGTGGTTTGTCTGTGCCATCCTACTTCAAACTAGCATTATTTATTTAACAGATTTCCCCTCAGTTACACTACTAATATAAATGTGTCTCTTATATTCCAAAGGCTTAGCTGGCAGTTCTTCTAGGGCATCAAGCTTACAAGCAGTATGCTGAAGTTTATATTTTAAGCTAAGAGAAAGCAAATATTTGTATTTTAATATGGCACTGGACTTCTAACATGCATTTCTTGCTGATGGTAGAGACCTAAGAGGATCCTGCTGACTTAGACACCTCTGTTTCACTCTAGAAACTCTTCAAGAAAGTTGTGCCCCACCACTGTTTGGGATGCATCTGGTCTCGAAGGGATAAGAAAGAAAACAAGCACCTGGCACCCACCATCAGAGCCACCATCTCTCAGTTCAACGCGGTTACCAAATGCGTTGTCAGCACTATCCTGAAGAGCAAAGAACTCAAAACACAGCAGAGGGCCAAGATCATTGAGAAGTGGATTCATATTGCACATGTAAAGCATTTCTTCTGGATTGTTTGATGTTCCTCATGCAGGTGCTTTGGAATGAAGGAGAGGAAGAAGGGATTGTGTGCATTGATCTCAGGCCAATCTTAGCTCTAATTCTTTCTAGATTTGGCCAGCTTTCTTGCTAATAGCAGATTGATACTGCCACCTTTTCCCTAGTTCCTTCTCCTGTATGGAAATTGGGTTGATGTTTGTCTCTCTGCGTGGTGGGGAATGCTAATTAATAAATGAGGCAGATAATGTGCCTTGCAGATGGGGAGTGCTGCATACTTGATAATGTAACGTTGATGATAAGATGGATATAAATTCAGTCAGTTGAGTTCCCTGGTAAGAAAGTACAGCTTCTATCAGTGACAGAAATGATGTGGTGGTTGATCCCCACTGCACTCCCTTTATCAGGCAGTGCAGTGACAGGACTAACAGTTTTAAACTAAAAGAAACCAAATGGGAGGAGGAAATTATTTCTGGTAGAGGTGGTGGGGCACTGGCACAGGCTGCCAAGAGAAGCTGTGGTTGCTCCATCCCTGGAATGCATTCAAGACCAGGTTGGACTGGGCTTTGAGAACGTGGAGGTGTCTCTGTACATGGCAGGGCATTGGAACTGGGTGAGCTTGAAGCGCTTTTCCAACCCAAGGCACTCTGTGATTCTATTGTATCACCACATGTTAGAAGAAAATTGAATAGAAATGGAAAACTGGCAGTGGTGTAGGCAGTAGGCAGTCAGAGTGAGCTTTGCACTTCACTTGCCTTGGCTGTTAATATTCAGTCGGTGAGCATCAGCCTCCCTCTCCTGCATCTGCAAATGATGTAAGAGGTGAAGCCAGGTATGGTGGAAGACAGCATAACTGCTTTGTTTTCCTACACATACATTTAAATATGAGTGTATGTATATATGAAAGTGAAGTGCTAGATTTTAAGAGCAGAAAAAAATAACTTCTAAGTAGTAGCAGCCTTTTTAACATGAGAAAAAAAATGAATTTATTGTTTATGCTCTTTTGTTCTGAAAATTTCATGAGGCTAAAGAGTCATTTGCTTACTGAATTATTCCTTGTTTGCATTGGGTCTGCAAACAAGCTGGGTTTGGGATGGGGCAGGTGGACAGAGCAAGTAGTGGTGCAATATGGTACTGGTCTCATCATCTTACTTTTCTGCTTTTTCACTGTCTTATATTTATTTTTCTCTAATACATTCTTCCTCTTTGCCTCAATTCCTTTGTCTATTAAGAGACTGTGTGTTTCTTAATCTTGGCACAATAGAGTTTTGCATACCTTCTTTGCATAACTCTAGTTACCTTATTTCTTAGATTTTATCAGTTATATTTTACTGTCAACTTTTTAATAAGTCCCTTTCAGAGCACTGGGCTGCTGGCACCTAAACTAGGTCTCCTTTTTGAAAAGAACTTTAAAGCACTTTAGTATGGCTATCTGTTGACTTTGTTTGAAGAATCACATGGATTTTTTCAAAGCTCTAACAAACAAGCAGTCATAAAAGGCTCAAGCCAAACAGAGACCTTCCAACCTTGACAGTGCACGTCTGTGCTTCCAGAGGCAGCACTGTTAGTACTGGCACTTAAGCTCCAGCATCTGCATGGTTCAGGAAACTGGTATGGGGAAGTTCTTTCACCTCTGCTTTGGCACTTACGTCGACTTGTTATCTGCTGCCCACTTTATAGACCACGTGAATGGATTAGGAAGTTTGATTCTTATTTCCTGTGTGCAGATCTCCAGTTAATGGAGCAAGCTGGGCTGCAGTCTGGGCAAGCAAGCATGGAGCTGCTTCTTGCTCATCACAGGGCAGCAGGAAGGGCCAGGGAAGCCAGGCCAGGCACCATAATACTTGTTCTGTGGATGGAGAACTTGGTTCTTCACCTCTGTTTATCCAATCATCTCCCTTTACTTAGTTCATGCACTCAATTAAATACTCCAGTCTTTGCTAGGCACATGAAAATGCATGTGCACACTGCAGAATAATTGCACATGTAGGACAGCCACTTGCATATAGTGTCAGCTGCCCACTTCTGAAGGAAGCTGCTTGCTTTGTGCATGCAAATGAGTGTTTGGAATAGTTAGATGCCTGAATTAGAAAATAATCCACTCATTAAAGTGCAGTTATTCACTGACAGCTAACTCTGTAACTTAGCAGCATGGAGTTCTGCATTTCTTATCTCCTCATCACTTCTGGATCCAGTTTCTTAGATTACAAGGAAAGCTGAATAAACTGCAGCCCTCTCCACTCCACCTTCATCTAAGCAGGAGCAGCCAATTTTATTCAGACAGTATTTTCTTTAAAAATAAGAAGTAAAAACGAAATAATTAGTATCCTGTTACGCTTCATTTTAAAAAAAAACAAATAAATCCAAGTTCTTTCAGAGCACTCTGCAGGATTCTTTCTGGTTTTCCCCTTGAGAAGGACACAGCGTGAAACGAAGTCGTTCAAAGCAGTCTAAAAAATTCTTATATGCAAATGGGAGTTTGCTAAAGTTTAGGCAGCAGTCAGTTAGAACACTGAGTACGTGAAATCCAATATTGAATTCCTAATGAGCTTTTAATCGTATGACATGCATTTTAAGTCAAGATGGTTCCAAACTGAAGCTTCCAGTCGTAACTCCTGTCATACTTGAGAAAAAGAAATGTGAAGGATTTGCCTCTAAATCCATATTCTCCACACTGAACATGAAGAAAGAAGGGTTTCGTTCTCAGAGGTGTCAGAGCTGTGCCTTCTTTGGCTGCAAACCATGCAAAATTAGCTTTTGGGTCTTGTGTGTCCTACCACGTGATCTTGAACTTGGTCTTCACAAGTTCTTCTTAGCCATATCTTAGTCTGGGGTGGTGAGGCACTGGAACAGGTTGCCCAAGGAGGCTGTGGATGCCCCATCCCTGCAGGCATTCAAGGCCAGGCTGGATGTGGCTCTGGGCAGCCTGGTCTCCGTAGGAGATTTTGCCATAGCAAAGCTCCATAGGAAATGCCTATGAAGCAAATCTCTCTGTCAGGATTTGATTCCAACTCTGGAAAAACTTAGAAGGTTTACTCTTTAACAGGGTGCACGTACTTGAATAACTGGTTATTCCAATCACGTCTTTAGTTTTAATTGACACTAAGACGACTGAGGGTTTACATTTTAAATACCACACACAAAGAGGGGAAGCCTGATTTTTTTTTCCCCTAAAGGGAAGCATAAGGGGTTGGTGCCTATAATGGGCTTTTTAGGAAGCATAACAATTGCACTCTTTAGCCTGGCTTTGTGAGCTCAGTTCAACTCATTTTTTTCTAGGGCTGGACTCCATAATGCTGCAACATCTTCACAAGTACGTGAAAGTGAGGAAAACAAGATATAAGTGCCAAAGCCCATAAAGCATTTGGTGTTTGGAGGGGGGATGATATTTTTGATGCTCGGTATTTGTACAGCTGCCTCCTTAGCAGTGAGAATATGTAGCAAGCATGACAGCGGTCAAACAGAAGAGCACTAACCTAGCCATAATGCTGACCTTTAATGCTCCTGTACTTCTAACCACTCCTTTTGCAGGAATGTAGGATCCTGAAGAATTTTTCCTCCTTGAGAGCCATCGTTTCAGCACTGCAGTCCAACTCCATCTATCGGCTAAAGAAGACCTGGGCAGCTGTTCCAAAGTAAGCCTTCCCCCTCCCCTTGTTTTGACTGTTCCTGTGGCTGGCCCCAAAGGCAAGAAGTGCTCTTTCTCTTCATCATCTTTTTCTCAACCTTCCCACTCTGCTCCTTCATGGACATCTGTTCTCTTTCAGGAGAATTTGTCATTCCTGTGAGGCTTAGACCCCTTTTTTGGGTCTGACTGCTCCTCTTTGCTGTTGAGGGATCAGCTTGTTCTCAGGGGCACTGGGACTCTTCCATCCTTCCCAGCATGTTGGATCTCCCGCAGCCCATTCCACTTTCCTTCCACTGCCCTGTTTTCCTGTTCAAAATATTGCTAGCTCGGGTTTGCAGTCCTGGACAACAGAAAGGATCTTATGCATCAAATGCTTTAAGCTTTCCAGAGAGCATGAAATAAGGCAAAAATTAAGTACTTGGGATATGTCTCACAACAAGACATCTTGCTACCCATTTATCTACTTTCCTACAGGAATTTTGTACCAGTACGACTGAAAATCCTGTTTAGAGTCTGAATCTCAGTACCTGTAGCTTGTATGGTGCTGTCAAATAAAGCTCTGCCTTTTCTTGGAGCACCACAAGGTCTCTGGAGGGTTCCTAGGAGATGTGCTGAATCTCCTTGAGTGCACCTTGATGTGATTTTTTTATATGCTTTGCCGTTATTGATTCATGAGGGAGAAAAAAGGCTGAAGAGTAATCTGATCTGATTTAAAGTGCTTACTAATGACCTAAATTATTCAATTCTTTTCCTGTGCAGGGACAGAATGCTGATGTTTGAAGAGCTGTCTGATATCTTCTCAGATCATGACAATTATTTGACAAGTAGGGAGCTGCTAATGAAGGTGAGAATTAGCTTGAATTGCAAGGCTCATAATCCCAATGAAAGCTGAAGTTAGCCCAAGCAGCTGCCAAAACTCATCTCTTCCTAAGCTACTGCAGTGCTTCAAGGGAGAAACAGTCTATAGCTCGTAACACTTTTTTGCTAGGATGAGGTGATTTCATTGTTCATCTCCGAGCAGATCTGGAAAGGTTCAGATCTGCACTGATGAGTGGAAAGCAGCTCCAGCAAGATTCTTGACTGGGTTGCACCACTGTGACTTCACTGGAACAGTGCCACTGAGCTTCAGCTGAGGAATTAAACCAAGATGTTTATCCAACTGTCCTGTACCTTTCTTGGAACCAGAAAACAGGGCTGGGAATCTCAACAGAACAAGCTTCCTGCTCTGTGTGTGGCCAAATGGACAACAAAGCAGGCTCTGTCTGGAATAGTTTGACTGGTGTGCTCTCCTGGGCCAACCCAGCAAGCTCAAGAGCTTGAATGGAGTGAAGAAGACTAGCAGAGATGCTTACATTATGTAGCATCTGAGGAATGTGTCAGTGGCAATTTTTTATTTTTATTTTTACATAAGAAGTTTCTCTAAACCAGCTAACCAGTTTACTTTTTGGCAGTTCTATCCAGTCTATCTGGCATTTGTACCTAACCCTTGATATCTGAAACACTGTTATGCTCCAGAGTGACTGGTGAGTGCATTCAGAACTGGCAGTCTGTTGTTTATCACCCATTTACAGTCAGCCTGTAGCTCAGTTTTAAAGCAGGTGAGACAGTAATAAGCATAGAGGAAAAATGTGTGTTTGGAATGGTTTGTTTGAACTAAATATTAAAAAGATGAAACAACCCAATCCAAGCCCAGACCTTTTGGCTCCCAGCACATCACTCTCTCCAGCTGCTGTAAGCAGATCTGCAAAACATTTTGAAAGCAGTGAGAGGAGAAAAATTCCATAGAATTAGCTAAAATCCTTCTCCTAGTTCTTGTGGACTGATTTGGAATGATTGGAGGATTCACACATGCTGCATCCTTACAGTCCTTGCTGTAAGCAAGTCTCCCTGAGGAGGTCGTGTTTGACTTTGTCTATCCATCCTGCAAATCTAAGTGCAGAGCAGACAAAACACTGCAGAAAACAGGTTGTCTGGCACACAGAAGGGAATGCTCTGTTCTCTCCTCCCCAGGCAATGGCTCTGCTGTGAGCTGTAGCTTTAGCTTCTGGGCCTGCCTGTTGGCTGCTGCTATTTGTAGGGAGCATGTAAACAGAAGGGGTTTATGAGGGTGGATAGTGATAGGACAAGGGAGGATGGTCTCAAACTGAGACAGGGAGGTTTAGGTTGGATATTAGGAGGAAGTTTTTCACACAGAGGGTGGTGAGGCACTGGAACAGGTTGCCCAAGGAGGCTGTGGATGCCCCATCCCTGCAGGCATGAATGTGGCTCTGGGCAGCCTGGTCTGCTGGTTGGTGACCCTGCACATAGCAGGGGGCTGGAATTGGATGAGCATTGTAGGCCTTTTCAACCCAGGCCATTCCATGATTCTGTAGAATCTCGTTTACCTTCCAGTATCTTGAGGACATGGATGATTCTTTTCCATTGCTCGTTTTTCAAGTCAAGGAAGGAAATGCAGAGTTTAATCCATCTGTTCATTAAGTGTGACTGGGAGAAGTAGAGATTGTAGCGAGAGGCTCTTTACAAGTACAGGCTGTTGTTTTGTGCAAGGTTAAAAAGACACTGATGATTCATGCCACATCTATCTGGCCGCTGGAAAAAATAACAGTAACTCCCAGCATCCCATATGGATCTGGGGAAATAAAGGCTGCAGATGTATTGTGAAATAGCTCATCCATTCATAGGAATTGTGCAGATCAAAACCTATTACTTCCATTTCCTGCGTGTTTTTGGATTAGTCAATAAGCCACAGAGGTTAGTTGGATCTCTGTGTTACAGCCTAAGAAAAACAGCAAAGCATTACATAAGGCAGAGATGTTTACTCATAGCAGTCCTCATTGGGAAATTAAACAGAAATCAGAGAAGCATACAGACACCTAAATAAGCCTAAGCATCTCAGGTTTAAACTCTTAGGAGATTTACAGTAGAACTTAGCTTTGGCCAGAGCTGAGCTGTTTTACAGAGAAATTCCCCCCTGGTCATCTGGTGGGACTTTGCCAAAATCCCCAGGTGGTGCACAAGACCCAGAAAAGCAGCACATGCATGTATGCCCAAGAAACTGTGCTAACCTAGCTTGCCTTGTTAAATACATGTGCAATGATTTTACATAGACGTAGTTGCCAGCTTACAACTTACCTCCTCCATTAACTGCCTTTTACATCTCTTACAGGAAGGAACATCCAAATTTGCAAATCTGGACAGCAGTGTGAAAGAAAATCAGAAGAGAACACAGAGACGTCTTCAGCTTCAAAAAGACATGGTGCGTCTGGTGCCCTCCTCTCCTTTTTGAGCTGGGAACGTGGTTAAGTTTATCACAGTGAATTATGAGAGAAAGCAGAAGCTAGAAAGGTATCTAAAAAAGGGAGCATGCAGGAGGTAATGCTCTTGTGGATGCCTTCTGTCACGCAAAAAAAAAATCACTGATAATCAATGCTGTTGATTAGCTGATACCAAGCAAGTGAAGCGCAAAGCTTAGACCGACTGTGTCACACTGGATGTGTTACACTGTGCTCCAGTAACACCTGTCTGTGTACTGAGGTGCCAAAGGAAACAGACCAGGCATCAACTTAGACGATGTGCTCAGGGAACTGGCGCTGAGAACGCTCCAGGATCACAGGGTTTGGTGGATGTATGCAATGTATGCAGGGACCACGCTGTGTTCCCTGGTGCCGACCTCCCTTTCCTCCCTGACAAGAGATAAATGGGTGCATCAGGCTGCTACTCCTGTCCCCACTTGTGTATGTTTCACATCCAAAGCAGCTGTTCAGGATGGACGCTGAGCCAAGTGCTTGGCCTGAGTTTCAAGTCTTGCAGAGATTTACAGAGCATGTCATGTAAAAGAGGGACAAATGAGTGATGTGTATAAACATGTGCTCGTCGCTTTCAGCTGTCTTGTTTCTGCCTCACAGGCGAGAACCCCATCAATTACTCTTGTTATCCTTTAGAGAGTAATGGAGAAAGCTATACAATTGTTTCTTAGTAAAATATGTAATGTAAACACTGGGATTCTTGTGATAAAGAAAATTAGCTCTGGCCAGAGCGGAAATCTCATTTACTTTTAAACAAGCTCATGAAGCTTCTGACAAACCAGCTTGAAAATTGCACAGAGCTTCACAGAGATTGCTTTGTAAAATGTCTGGTTTCCAGTCTGCTGCTGAAAATGGCTTTTGTCTCAAAGTTGGCAAAGATTTAAAAGAACAGGGGAAGAGAGATCTGGGATAGGAAGGCAAAACTGCTGAATATGATTTTTTGTTTCTCTTTTAGTTTGACTGGAAAAAAAATACCGATCCTTTTGGATGGTAGGAACAAGCATTTCCTTCACGAGTGTAGGAACGGCCTGAACTCTATGACTGGTTGCAGTCTAGAAAGTTAAAATTTGAACGCTGTGTAATTAAAATGCAGTGGATGGCTGGGGGAGAAGTGAATTTTTCTTGGAGGAAAAATCTGTGACTTGATGTACTTGATTGTCACATAATGTAGCAATGTAATGGAGTAAAATCCCACTGGAGTGAAGCAGAAACTTTCCACCAGCTAGCCAGGATGGCTCCCAGCAGGTAATGGAGGAACTCTCAGTGCTCCTCCCACAAGTAGGGTTTCCCAGTGACTGTTAGAAATATTGCAGTATAAAGCCACTCCTCAACGTCTGCAACAGCATCCTGCTTCTCAATAGGATTTAATTTGAATTCTAGCCTAGATACCAAAGGTGATGCGATGAAAGAAAGGTTCAGTGAAAAGACTGATGTTTGGTTAAGCTGCTTTTATTTCTTCTTTTAGTACTGTTTGAACATTCTAATAATTTCCCAATCCATCCAACGCTGCTCTGATCATTTGCAGGGAGTAATGCAAGGCACCGTCCCTTACCTTGGTACCTTCCTCACTGATCTCACCATGCTGGACACAGCCCTTCAGGATTACATCGAGGTAATTTGGGGCAATGTTTTCAATCCTGCATGCTCTCCCTGCCTGCCTGGCACTGAGCGTTTGTGTTCCTCTGTCTCCTACTGTGTTCATGTGCAGTTCTCAAATCTGGAGGAACAAGTGAGCACAGGAAGGGTAGCAGGATTGCAGGAGTCTGGTCACATAACAGAGCCTGAGGAGGGGGTCGATTTTCAGAGGTGTTTGTTTCAGAGCTTTTTAGACGCCTTTGAAAATTGGTTCCCAATTAATGCAGACACTCGAGGAGCCCTGCTGCAGGCACCCAGACTTAACTGTGCCAGTGCTGATGGTTATGATAGGAGTGGGCAAATAAATTTCTGTCTGGGCTAGTAACTGCTGCTGGCTTGTTTGGTTGTTGTTAGTTTTTCCAAGTGTGCTATAGCAGGCTTGAATGAGATTGCTATATATATCCGTTTTCTTTTTGGCAGTTTCCCATTCCTCTGTGCTTTGTGTTCAGCTGGTGTTCCTGAAGCTTGCTGGAAACGCTGCTGAACTCACAGTATAGGCAGAAATCAAGTTTGTTTCCTGCATGCAAGGACTTCTTCGGACCTGATCTCAATGCAGCTTTCTTATACTGGACTTTTCTTCTTGAGCAGATTGCCCAAGAAGACATATAACGTTTGGAGATCCATATACATGAGTGCTATGGTTTTCATCCAATTGGGAAACAGTATTTTTAGAAGGTCCTTGCTCAGGGCAGGCCTCTGGTCTATGTTAGTGTGCTACTCCATCTTATTTGTGATTAAGTTCAACTGAGCACGTGCTCTTCTACCCTGATCCTTTCTCTTTGCTTCCAACAGGGTGGCCTGATAAATTTTGAGAAGAGGCGAAGGGTAAGTTACATGTTGTGTGATTTTCAGTTCACTGATGCCCCCTTCTAGAGAATTCTCATGTTTGACGCCTGTTCTCTTTGCTCAGGCATATGCAGCACGTTGGGTCACATTTGTTTGAATAAATTTGTGCCCAAATCTCTGTCTGGGGGCCTGAAAGTGACTTGGATTTGGCTATGCTGGAGCCATTTCCTTCCCCAGCCACTTCCCAGCTCCATAAACTGTTTCTTGGACTTACCTTTTACATATAACTGCATGGTTCAGGTTATTGATAAGAGTAATTTGTGAACTTGTGTCTCTTTGCTGTTTGTGGAAGAGGAACTGCTGTGCTGCTGCTCAGCTGGCTTGCAGTGATGCTGCACTTGGAAAAAGCTCTGTGGTGGAGCGTGGTTCCTTGTGCTTGTCTTTGAATTGGTGCATCTTTAATAAAATGCTCACGTTTCAATGCACATTAAGGATACTGGGGAAAAAACAAACAAACAGAAACTACAGCAGATTTCATTGATTGTAAACTGGTTGTTGAAATAGTTCCTCAGCTGCAAGTCACAGTAAGTTTGTCCTGGGTCTGTTGTTGCATATATTTAGTATATGAATGACTCTGTTTGGCTTTATCTCGTTTTCTATTTATATGAATGAATCTGTTTGGCTTCATCTTGTTTTCTAAATAGAATTTCTGTTTGATTATTTCTTAGGAATTTGAAGTAATCGCCCAGATTAAGCTCTTGCAATCTGCATGTAACAGCTATTGCATGACACCAGACCAAAAATTCATCCAGTGGTTCAGGAGGCAGCAGCTTCTGAGCGAGGAGGAGAGGTATGGTTCTGCATCCAGCTGGCAAAGCAGGCTTTGCTTTTCTTACCCCAAGCCCACCTGGATGAGTTATGTCAGCCTTTAGGGATCCTCTTACAGATGTAGCATACACTGCTGCTCCAGCATGGTGGAAATACATGTGTCTGCTGCTCAACAGCTGTAGAAAAACTGCCTAACACTGAGCAGGGCTTAGTTCTGAGATTGGAAATGAGGGTTCTGACTTTGAAATGTGAGAACCTGTTGTGTCTGGGCTGTCTGCATACCCAGACACACTCAGACCATGATCCTGAGGGACGTCAGGATGCAGAGCACTCAGTTGGTGGACACAGGCAGCAATAGCCAAGGCAGCTCAGAGCTCGTGGTGAAATGTGGGCTGCGTTCCTCTTTGTGGGGTTGCAATTCTTCTGTGAAGTGGGATTTCTGAAGATTTCTGAAATGTCTTCTTTGTTGCTGCTTTGACATATGTAACTAATACTACTGTATGTAAAAATTGAGCCAGTGCTCTCTGTCCTGCAGTTACAGCCTCTCGTGTGAGATTGAAACAGCTGTTGACACGAGCACCACATCACCAAAACCTCGGAAAAGCATGGTGAAGAGGCTCAGCCTGTGAGTATGACTGGGATGTAGCAGCACTGTGTGTGTTGGTCTGAACCAGGATGAAAGCAACAAGCAGAACTCATTTCACCAGCTGAAAACTTGGCTGGGAACCCAGACCACCACATTACTTTAAGGAGACACCATCGGCCAGAAACTCTTAATTCTGTCTGAAGCTGTCTTCTTCTATTGTTATAACTGATTGTGAGGATTATTAATGATGAAAGAGATTAGAGACAAACAAACCTTTTTAAGAGTCAGGAAAAGGAACAATTTTTGGATTGGGTTATAAATTCAGTACCTATTGTGCAATAACTTCCCTGAACGCAGTAGCAAAACAGAGTAAATGAGGATAAAGTCTGGCCTGTTATTAGTCTAATTTACTATCCGCATGCAAAAATTCCTTGCAGGATTTTACTATGATAATGAAGGTTGGCAAAAAGGCATTGAAAATAGAAACAATCTGCCTAACTGCCTTCAGGTTGGAAAAGGAAAATAATCATGGGGACACGGTCCAATTTAGTCTAATAGCTTAAAGATTTGGGTAGGTAAAGAGCAGGGGTGTGCAGCCCAGCAGATGTGGAAATAACAGATGAGCAGGAGCTCAGGGAAAGCTGCAGGGAATGAAAACACAGGTCAAGGGTCAACGTCAAAATATCTTAAAGGTGAGAAACGTGAACCTGATGTGAGAGGAGATATGAAAGTGTTAGTGGCATCATCAAGATGAGGGGAAAAACAATGAATTTAACAGCTCTGTCAGCTCTTAACTGTTCTTTCCTGGCAGATTTTGTACCTAGCTTCCTCAGAAGAGCAAACAGCCATTCATTTTACATCACCACTACTACATCCTAGGGTCTGAAAGAAGAACAGATTTTTCAGTCCAGAGTTCTGAGTCCTGATGTGCAAAACAATACAGTGAACAAACCTGTGGGTAGCTGTTTGGGAAAGGTGTGTTCAGTCCATCCAAGTTGGTTGTGAAAAGCTGTGGCACCACGAGCTTTGCAAATGGCACTGCCTAAACTCTGAGAGCTTTGCACGAGTCTCTCCTTTGGTGTGTGCCTAAACTGAGTGTAAGAATTGTCACTGCTGAATTGGTCTCTTATTTCTGACCGTGTTTCAGTGCTCCAGGATTGTAATTTGCCATAGCATCAGCTTTGTTTGCACTGTGCAGGCTTTGTGTAAGGAGCTGTTTCATCTACAGGCTGAAAGTATTCTGCAAATTAATACTGTAGAAAAGACTGGCTTAATTTTCCTGGAACCACTGAGTGACACCACTCTAAATTGTTTTAAATCATTAACTACGTGCTGACGTGGCATCTAATTCACTTGGTTTCTCTGCTTTATGTATTATACAAGCTTGTTTCCTTTGGCACTCCTTTAAATTTACCTGACCTGCATTTGGAAATGAGTCTCGGTGAGGGAGAGCCTGTCATTTGTGTCATTTACACTTTCTTGTCATCTCATTGTGCCTGTGCCCGTTTGAGCTCAGAGAGAAACTGGTATCTGTGGCAGCTTTTCTGAGTGCAGGAATGTGCAGCAGAGGTGAATCTGCATTCTGAAGACCTTTGCCCAGTGTATGGCCACACATTACCCATCACTCACTGTCCTACTTACTCACAGCGTCTCTGTCTTGAGTTCCTTTGTGTCAGCGAGACAATGGTGTGCAGCAGTCCATAAGGAGTGAGCTGCCAGGCCTCTAGCTTGGTTTGTAAACATGTCATATTTACCATCAATCACTTTCTGGCAAGAGAGTCTGAAAATGTATGAGACTGAAGAGAAGCCTCGTTTATGATAGTGAGCGTTAGCTCTGATTTTGGTCTTGCAGCTGGAGCTTATGTGAGGTCAAGACAGGACTATGTTAGTGTGTAGCAAACTCTCTTGACAAATGATATAAACAGTAGGGAGGAAATGAAAACAATAGGCCACTCGAGATAGAAAAGCAAAACAGTACAAAAGATTTTGCAGCGAATGACAGCTTTGCTCAACCCAGCTCCGTTCTGCTTTTGCTTACTGGCTGTTACGCTTTGTTTTCCATATTAGACTGTTTCTGGGCTCCGAGGTGATCACCAACAGCACGCCCACCAAAGAGCAACCCAAATCGACTCCAAGTGGGAGCTCTGGTGAGAGCATGGACTCGGTCAGTGTGTCATCCTGTGAGTCTAACCACTCTGAATCTGAAGAAGTCTGCGTCACTCCCATAGACACTCCTGATGAGCCACAGAAAAAGGTACAGCCTGGGGCTGGTTGCCAGCACAGTTGGACAAAGGCAGGCTTTCCATACTGATGTTTGCCCGAGCCTTGAGTCTTGACTAGGGCACTGCTTTTAGGGGAGTGGAGAGACTCTAAAAATAACTGTGTAAAAATGAAAGCAATCCAGTCGGGCTTTTTGCACAATCCCTCTCGTGTTGCCAGGATACCAGGCAGACTGCAGTTTGCCTTCTGTGAAACCAGATTTTAATGCGGTGCCTGACAGTGTTTTTGGTTTTAGAGGAGGTTTTGGAGCAGTATGAGGTTAATTTGTCTCTCAGCCCCCCATCATGCTTTTTGGGAGGGATGGGACAGACTGGCAGCATTTCTACTTTGGAACCATAGGAACTGGGGTGAGGAGCCAGAGCATCCTGCTTGCAGATGGTGGCACATCTCTCCAGCATGCAGCAGTGTGACGTTAGCAGTGATGAGGACGGGAGGATCTGTAGGCTCCCCCAAACAAAACCAAAGGAGATGGATCATCTGAACACGAGTGAATCAGCAGCAAGTCATTTCACCCCAGGCTGTCTCGGGTTCAGTGAGCTCTTCTGTGGTTAGCAGCCTGCTGCCATGCTTGTCGTGCTGAAGCAATTGATGTGACACAGCTGTGTTTTAGCTCATGTGTATGTTGGTGACAGCACTGTGTCATCCCAGAGCAGGCAGGGCTGCTGCAGCTGCCCCTAGGAGAAAGGCATTGCACCAGCAAGCCAGGAAATCCCCCCTTTTTTCCTTCTTCTTGCTTGGCAGAGCCCCATGCCCTGCACATGGGCATCTGGAACATCCCCCAGCAACATGAGTGTAAAGGTGTAGGGGTGAAACTGTGTGTCTGTGCTGGCAGCAGATGGGCTGGCCATTTTCTAGTACATTCTGGACAGCCAAAGTGTAAAGTCAGGAAGGCAGTAGGTGGGATCTGATTGGGGGATCCACTGGGATGCCTTCTCTACTGGCAGATTCTTCTGTTTTGTTCTAAATCACGAAGACATTTTAGGGATGTTTAGGCTTGGGCTTATGGCTATTCGAAATGAAATTGCATTTCGTGTTCTTAAACCAAATGGGGCACAAGGTCCCAGGCGTCAGCATCCATCTCACTGAGTCATTCAAGCAGTTCAGCTGGAGTGGTTGTTAAAGTGGATTTGAAGCACGAGTTGGAGAGGGAACCTCCTGGCGGCAGCTTCTGAGCCAGGCATATGGATGAAAATGGTGAAACCCTGCACTTCAGGGGGAGGGAAGGAGGCATAAAGAATAGACAAGGAGCAGGGGCAGACAAGGAAGGGTGTGTTTCTGTATATGTATGTGTGTTTTCACAGCAGTCACCAGTCCAGTTCCATGTGCAAATTTGGGTCTTGCTGCAGAGCAGAGTGCCCTTCCCACACCCATCTGTCCCCAGCCAGGAGCCCACTCTGTTCCTTGTTTCTGCTGCCACCTCCTGGCCTTTGCACAGTCTGAGCAACTCACCGAATTGGAAGCAAGGAAGCACTAAAATGCTGAAATGAATCGTCAAGTTTTTTGTTTTTTGGGTTTTTTTTTTTGGATGTAATTCTACATAGAGTGCAGAGCAGTGAGGATTTGCACGTGCCTCCTACTTTCCTGTGTTCTCCAGTTTGTAACTCTGTTTTTCTTCCTATTGTGCAGCTCTCGGAATCCTCCTCCTCCTGTTCCTCCATCCATTCCATGGACACATCCTCCTCGGGACTGTCATCTTTAACCAACATAATCTCATCCCCTCCCTTCTTGTCCTCCAACCCCAAGATCCACAAGCGTTCCATCTCTGTGACATCCATTACCTCAACAGTGCTGCCCCCTGTTTACAACCAGCAGAACGAGGACACCTGCATCATCCGAATCAGCGTGGAAGACAACAATGGCAATATGTACAAGAGCATCATGGTGAGTGGTGTGCAACAGCAAGCTGCTCTTAGCCTTCATCCTGCTTCCTTTCTGGGCGATTGCTAAAGCACAAAAGGTGGTTTTAATGGTGCAGAGACCAGTTGGCTGAGCTGACTACTCAAAAAGGGCTTGAGAGTGAAAATGACAGATGTTTAAATTCAACGTTTGTGGAACGTGATGTGAATAGGAGGTTTGAATATAGCAGAGTATCACTTTGTAGTCATGAAATTTATGTTTGTGTTGGATCAAGAAATTTTAAGTGAAAGAGTGTGATGGGCGCAGGATGTGCTGCTCCTGCCCTTTAGCTAAAGCTGCCTCTCCTGCTTGGTACGTGAGCAACACAAGCTCTGCTCAGAGCCTTCCCTGGGAGCAAACAAGGCTATTTTTCTAGCCAGTTCAGCTTTTTCATGGTTTTAATGGTCTGCCCTCACCAAATTGCAAAGAGCAGTTCCCCCGAGGGCCTGCCAAATTCTGCCTCCAAGAGAATTAATCTTCCCTTTGAGTTGATGAGGCCCTGCAGAACCTCATGTCTGTCCCTGGCACACCACTGCAGACAGTACCCTAAGTTACAAGGCCAAAAACCTTTGCCAGATGTTGGAGAAGGTATTTAGCACAGTGAAGCTCCAGATTAATTGATGTCTGCAAACAGCAGCTGGGGCAGTTAGTTGTGTGGAAGTTTATGGCTAGCAATAATAACATCTCATCTCTCAGAGTGGTTGCTCAGGGAAGCAGTCTGTGTGATTTACTGCTGGCTCTGCCCATACAGCATCTGTCTTCTTGAATTAAAATAACAATAAGTAAGTGTCATAAATACCACAGCTTAGTAGCTAGGAGTATCTGCCTACTCCTATATTACTGACCCATCAGAATTACTCAGTTCTCTAAAACCTTTTGCGAGGCCAAGTTGGGCTGCAAAGAGACAGGACTTTACTGATCATTAAATCATTATATAAAGTGATCAAGCAGAATGTCTCACTACTCGTTTGTCTCTCTTTGCAGCTAACCAGCCAAGATAAAACCCCTGCAGTCATCCAGCGAGCTATGTCAAAGCACAACCTGGAATCTGATGCAGCCGAGGAGTACGAGCTTGTCCAGGTCATCTCTGAGGACAAAGGTAGGGAGGCAGAACTGCTGCTGCTTGAGAAGTAATGCTCCGTTTTCAAGGAAGGGGTAAAATGCTGCGTTATTACAATTGCCAGTGGGAATAATCACTGCGTGGGGATGGTGTAGCACCTTGCCTTCTATAGGGAGAGCATCTTACAGGCAGCCCTTCTGTACGTGTGCTGTGTTGGCACAGCCACTTCCAGGGCTGCTTGCCTTCCCTGAGCAGAGCAGCCTGCCCAGAGGGGCAAGGCACAGCCTGGATCCCTGCTGCTGCCACCTCATGTCCTCCATAGCCTTTCTCTCCTGTTTCTGAGAGTTTATTGTTTTCTGTACAGCAGAAAGGGGCAGCACTGTGTGCGGGCATCTGTTCATCAGCTCCCCTGCATTCTGTCCTGCATTGTGCAGTACCACCAAAATGAACGCTGGCTCTGGTCCCTCTGTTGCAGAGCTGGTGATCCCAGACAGCGCCAACGTGTTCTACGCCATGAACAGCCAGGTGAACTTCGACTTCATACTGAGGAAAAAAGCTCCCGCTGACGGGCAGGTGAAAATGAGGAGCAGATCCAGCCTGACGCTCCCCAGAACTGCCAAACGGGGGTGCTGGAGTAACAGGAACAGCAAAATCACGCTCTGAGCTGAACTGCTTGAGAACCGAACCTTCGCTACCATCCAGTATTACAGAATCACAGCAGGTGAACGTGTCAGTATTCAGCGCTGAAAACATTGGAGACAAATGCAAAGTGAGCATTGGGTCAACGTCCAGCCAGAGGTGTGTCTCTTCACCTGCAGCTGGACAGACACGGATTTACAGGACAGGCCGGACTAGGATTATTTTGTTTTGCACATTAGGAAGGTGAGAAACCCCACCTAGAGGGGAAAAAAGGACTGCAATGTTTGTACTCAGAACACCACGTAAGCCTACTTACTTCTTGTGTGAGAAAACCTTTTCTTTGTGCCAGTATTACACACAGTGAGAATACCTAAATTTATTTTTATAAAACTGGAGAAGGAAAGCCACAGGCCTGTTCTGCCAGAAGGGAGCAGGAGCCTCCCAGCCTGCAGCAGCCCAAGGACAGTGCTGGGTCACAGGAGTGGGCTCACCAATTGCATCCATGGCAAGGCACTGTGGGTACAGCCCCGAAGTCCTCATCTCTGGAAAAGGAAGAAGCAGCTGCAAGCACGTGCATTGCCTTCACACTGCTGGCAGCCTTCTTTTTGCACTTGTTGAAAGCCAGAAAATTACCTATTTTGGGATTATCATTATTTTTTCCAAAAAACATTAAAAGAGAGGACTGTGCTTGCTTTCACATGCATGTCATGATTTGTTTCATGAGCAAGGCACTCAACACTACATGTCTGGACTTCAATGCCACTGCCTTCTGCTTTTTTTTTGTTTTCTCCTTTTGCTTTGCTAACCCACTCAGCAGAAGTCGATGCCTCTGCGTGCACTCTGACGTGACTGATGTACCTCTTTGTAATGTGCAATCAATATTCAGGAGCTGAACTTTCCCCACATTATTACTCCACCTTTTTCATTCCATGGGAGGCAACTGCATTACCTTCTATCTTAAAAGTGGGTATCGACAGGAAATAGCCCCATTTCTAGCATTACCCCCAAACAAACAGATTTTATATCCTTGTAGCATTATTATGCATTATCTCCAGCCACTGCCCTTGCTCTTTGTATACACCTATAAATGAATTTCCTGACATGGTACATCCTTTCAGCTGGAATAAAGAATTTAACCATCTGTTCTCCACAAACACACGCCTGGAGTGTCTTCCAAAGTCCAGGCTTCCTTGGAAGGAGGGAGGTTTAATTTTATAAAGCCATAGATGAGACTGGGACTGTAAACAGCCCTTACTGGACAGGCCGCCTTTGGCTTACCTTAGTGTTAGTTACAATCAACTCAGAAAGTGAATTTTACACATGCCTGGGGCCGTTCTTCCACCCATCCTGCAGCTGCTATGTCCAAACTGGGCTCAGAGTACATCAGCAGCCTGTGATAAATGCATGACACAGGCAGCAGTGCAATGTGCCATTTGGCACGCTGCCTTCACAAGGAGGCACCACCCAGGGCACAGCCTGTGTAAAAACTAAACCTGGACTTTGGTGAGCGAGGGAGGACTGAGTTTGTAACCAACCCCTCACACGTGCCAAGGGTCAGCACAAGTTTACAGCAGAAGTGGTTTTCTTTGCATTTCAGTGTAAGAAAGAGTGCACTGATGTCTGCACAGCATCATTTGTAAACTGCAGTGTTGCTAACTCCACCATTGCACGCCTGTGTTAAGCTGAAAGGAAAACTGTCTCGACCTCAAAATGACTCCTCCCCAGAACATTATATATAAAGATTTTTTTTTTAACTGCTTACCTGTAATCTTTATACAATAAGCATATAAATATTTTTTTTTCACTGATATTTGCCTTAAGTTAATCTATGCCCTTCTCTTAGGCTTTATTACAACTGTGCGTCAGTTCCTTCGCATCTCATCCCCCCTTCCATTAATGCCCCTCTCTTCAGCATCACCACATTAATTGGCTCAAGTTCCCAGCTCCTTCTGCCTCCCCTGGGAAAGCTCTTGACTGCACCAATTTGGGCTTGAATGGAAGATGCCACTTCAGCCAAACCAAGCACGAGCAGTGCCTGCTCCCACCCAATGAAGAGCGCACACAGCTGCATTTCTTGCACCAGGTTCTATGTATTATCAGACCCGCTGACAGGTAATAACATGTCGTCTTTAGCAGAAAGCACAACATGGATGAGGAATTATTAAAAACAAACGAGAAAATTAAAAAAAACACAACAAACCAACCACACACGGATCAACTGCACAGATCAGCTGGCAGCCAGGCTCTGCGCTGCCGTGCAGGAGAGCAGCCCAGAGCTGCAGCCCGTGGCCACCTCCTGCTCCCAAACCTCTTCAAAACATCACCACCACACTCTGCTGTCACAGAAACCAACAGCAAGGACATCAGCACGCACCCAAAAAAAAAAAAAAAAGACAAGTTTGCTCCTCACGTGAAAAAATATCAAGACAAGTTGCCTTTCCGTCCTGAAGGAACACATGGAGGGGGAAGGAAGCTGAATGCGTTCCTTTCGGGGTGCAGAGGAAATACAAGTGGCAGCACTGCTCTGCCTGCTGCTCTGCAGGTTCTCTGATGGACCAACACATCCATTCTGGGCCATCCGAATGGGATCCGGGCAGCCTTGACATTCAGAGGGGAAGCTAGGAATGCTTTTCTGCAGATGCATGAAGGGAAGAAGATTCTACACTTAGAGCACTGCTCCAGTGCATGGAGTATTTTCGGAAACCATTCTGAAACCGACAAAAACAAAACCTCCTAACCCAAACACTCCCTGCAGTTTCTCTCATGAACAGGGTTATAAAAGCCTGCAGACCTACAAGGAGAAAAAGCTACACAGCAGCCCAGTTACAGCTATCCGGAAAGGTCTGAACACTTGTACACCTCTATATATTAATTTTTATAAATACAGCATTCTACACAAGGTACTGTAGAAAGACGTCATTCAAGGAATTTTTTCTTTGTTTTTAAACAAAAGCTTGCAAAGGCTTTTGTTCAGATCTCTGCCTGTCTGGAACATCTTTTTCCTCCTTCGTTTCCCCACAGTCTTGGAAAAGCAGCCCAGTGAGCCGTAACCCAACTGGGTCCAACCCAATTGGATCCAACCCCACGGGGCCCAACCCAGCAGCCCCGCCATCCCGTCCCACGCAGCAGGATGGAGGCCCTGCAAACAGCTGCTCCACAACTTCCAAAGGTGAAAAGCCAAAGCGTGAGGCAGGTTTGGCTGTCAACAGAGCCCAGGGGAGGCGGGCAGTCATAGCTCATCCCTGGAGGACGGCGTGTTGAGGGAGGACTGGGGTGGCAGAGCATCCTTGTTCTGTGCCTCGCTGTGGATCTGGCCCTGCTGCCGTGACTTCCAGGAGTGTGTCCTGTCCCAGTCTGTTGATACGGTCTCGTTGTCCCAGATGGTGGAGGTCTCTGTGTCACTGAGGTAGCCTGGCTGCCCTGTGTAGTGGGTGGGGTAAACGAGCAAGGGCTCTGCTGAAAAGGCCTTCAAGTCTCTGGACTCGTAATACTCCATGTACTTTGCTCTATAAGGGGGAGAAAAAATCATCAAGAGCTGAGTGCATGTCCATGTTTAACTCGGAGCCACAAGCCAACCCACTGAGCAGACAGGTCCCAGTGCAGCAAGGTGGTGCTGGGGTGAGCCTAGAGCAGGTCTGACCCCCAGGACTGAGGACACAGTCTTACATTGATGCACACAAAGCCTCTGTTACCAGACAACAAGCACCTCAGAACGACCCACAGGCCCTGCACCAGGCAGGCACAAAGCCCCACTGCCACAGGGTTGTCACTGCCTTGGCCCTGCGACAGCAGTTCCACAAGCACAAGGAGCAGCCCTGCCCCCCCAGCCTGGCTGCAGAAGCAAGATGCATTGATGCCATCCGCTTTAAGACCATTCAGCAAGTCCCAGCATACATCAACCCAAGCCACAGAGACATCCTACTTACACAGGGTGCTTGTTGTACATGACTGGCAGAAACTCATCCACAGGCAGCATCTTGCCGAAAGGCTCTGCCCCAATTAGCTTCTGAGCCCCTTGGAAAGAGATTGCATACCCCAGGGTCCAGTACGAGTAATCAGCTTCCACCAGGTTCATGACATTGGGAACTGCTTTCTCGGGCTGCTGCACCTGCATCCTTTTCCGGCCAATGTAGCTGAAAGGGTGAAGAGACCACAGAAACTTGAACTGAAGCAAATGTGCAGCAATGAAGACCACTCAGCTGTATTTCCACCAGGACAGGGCAGAGTCAATCCAAAAAGCAATCCCTGCTCCCAGACAGCCATACCGTAACCCAGCAGTGGCACAGCTGTGAAAGGCTCTGTAAGGGCACTGAATGCCTCAGTCCAGCCCCAGGACCAGGCAGTGCCAGCTCCTCTGCCACAGCAGCATCTCTGACACCACTGGGACCAACCAGCACTGCCCACAGAGGGTACTGACAGCCCCCACTACAGCTGGGGCACTCCACTCCGCCCCAGGGAGTGGGAAGAGCCCACTGAAGTCTCTCTGGCATAAAGCTGCACCTCTGCCATGGCACAGCATGCTGCTCCCCTCTGTGTGCCCAGCAGCTCCCAAGTGCCTGGGGCCAACCACTTACATAAGCTCCCAGTCTAGCTGAGCTTGTTCTATGTCATCCATCAGCTTCATCAGCTTCCTCTTAAACTGGTGTTCAAAGCGCACGTCGTCCTCAATGACAAGAGTCTTCTCCAGTCCTCTGTTCACCACCTGCAACACGAGGGCACAGATCAGTGACAGCCCCACTCGCACCCTGGGATCACTGGAGGTCAGCCTGACCTGACAGTGGCTCCCAGATCCTGCAGGCAGGACGACAGGATCACTCCCAGACTCTGAGTTCGCCTACAGAGTCATCAAGAACAGCACCCACCAACCTCTCACCTCCTTCCAGATGTAGTAATGGCTGAGGAAGCAGCCGATCTCTCCCCTGGTCAGCGGTCGGGAGGAGTAGGGGTCCCGGTACCCTGGCAGCATGTCGATGCTGAGAGCTTTGAGCTGACTCGTGTTCAGTGCTCTGAGAAACAGATTGTGTGTCACCGTTGCAGAACAGTCACGTCTTAAGCCGGACACAGAGGCAAAATGGGAAATGCTGCTGACGTTCTGAGAAAACTGATGGATACCCAGGACTCAAAGACCACGAGATCCATACGTGTTCCTCACTCCTCCAGGAATCTGTGCAACTTCCAGACCTAAAACGTGTGCTTTTATTTCTCATTATAAAAATGCCCTAACACACCTTACGGTAGGGTGCTCAGGGAAAGGGCAATATCAGGTTAACACCATAGCACAGAATTTCCATAGCACCTGGATGGAAGATCTTGCCAGGAGGTGAATTCTCTCAAACACTTGCTGAGGACTTAGAGAATCACAGAACTACAGAATGCTGTGGGTTGGAAGGGATTCCCCAATCCCTTCCTCAGCTCAGGCTGCCCAGGGCCCCATCCACAGCCAAGGGCATCCCCAGGGATGGGCACCCCAGCACCCCCAGCACTTCACCACCTCTGAGTAAAAAAAATTCCCCTTAATATTGACCTAATTCTCCCCTCTTTTAGGCTAAAGCCATTCCCCATTCTCCAGTTTCAATCAGACCATGTACAGAGTTGGTCCTCCTGCTTACAACCTCTCCCCAAGTACAGAGGGCCACAGTGAACTCACTTTCCATCCACAGCCTCCACGATCTTGACTGCAATCTCCTGCTCGTAGAGCGTCCGCAGCATCCGGTCCCGCCTGTCCTTGCGCCGCTTCAGATTGATCATGAAAATCTGGGATGAAGAGAAAGACATCAGCCTCACGCTATGGGAGGAAGCACAGGGAGTCCTGAGCCACCCTTTTTCCAGCAGCCCCATGGGAAGAACAGAGCTCGTTAAAATACCGCGTCTGTTTTTGTTCCAGACTTTGGAATTTGTCCCCAAATTGGGGCTGGTTGTGAGGGGGAAGGTGAGAGGTTTGTTCTCTGTCTAAAAGCAGTTTGTACAGAACAGGGGAACGTTGCTTTTCCAGGATGAAAAGCTGCAAAGAGACCAAGGCTGTGTTGTATAAAAACACGGGATGCTTTGATTTTTATTTAACACAGGGTACAATGGTCAGCTCCAGCTCAACACTGACCCACATGTCTCTCCACTAAGATGCAACTGCTCGTATTTAGGATGACCAGCAGGGCCACCAGCCAAGCACAAGGACACCGTAAAGAGAGGATTTTTGTAATTACTTCAGGCACTGAAATTCCACTGCTCCCCTTGCCAGAGCAGATAGCCAAGACCTGGAGCAGAGATGCCTGGGCAGGGCTCAGCCCAAACCTGGAGGACACAGACTCCTTGGTGGAGGCCTGAAGCCCTCGCTTGTAGGTAAACAGCAGAGGGGGGGGGATATTTTTCAGCCCCAGGCAGACACATACAAGTGCAGCTTTGTATGTCGTGGAGCAAAACCTCATCCCAGTAAGAAGCAGATGGAATTCCAGCTCAGTACAAACGCAAAAATAATAAACTGGATAAATACAGCACAGCCACAAAGGGCAATGTGGAAAAAACCTACACCAGCTGTGCTGCAAACACAGACACACAGCCAAGCTTTTCTACGTGAGCCGTGTAAACAGATGTAGAAGTTTCCCAAAAGACAGTTGGTTTTTTTTTGTCACAAAACACAGGGATCAGCACTTGTGAACAGTGCACCAAGTGCTCACAGACCTGACTGGCTGTGTGGCCACCCAGCACAGCTTCTCCCCAATCAGGGCTGCTGCTTTCTCCATGCATAAAGTTTGAGTCCCAAAGGGAGTGACTGGGAAAGAACTAATGATGTAAAAACATATTATACTCCAAGGAAAACATCTGGAAGCTCAGCTACGAGGAATACGTAATGGATGGGAAAGCAATGACAGCAAAATAGGTTCCTTACTTCATCAAATCCCATCTTGTCAGGGTGCTTGGGAGGAACAGAGACGTACTGAGAAGGCTCAACGGGAGGACGATCGACTGAAAGAGAGGAGAGATCCCAGCCATCACCTGGATGTACAAGCTTGATTGATATAACTGAAGAGGTCGGCAAACGTTCACTGGGGGCTCCAGCACAGCAGGGCACAGCCACTTACTCATAGCCTCAATCAGTGTGTGCACAAAGTTCTCTGTCTCTTCTTGCAGCGTCTGGTGCGACTTCAGGGGCATGGGAAGGAAACCGTAGTGCTCACGGTTGCAGATGAACATCTGAATTCCTGAGGATTGCAGAAGAGGAGAAATGAGAGCCGGGTGTTTTATGGGCAGATTTCACTGCTCTGTTGATACGCAGCCACAACCCCAGGGAGGTTGGCACAGCTCTGTGGGCACTGCTCTCATCCACAGGGGCTGGGGTTGGCTGGTGCTGCGTGCAGCTCAGCAATCCTTGCAGCCTTCCATTTCAATCAGTACATG